TAACAGCTTCTAGAGATGACATAATTATTTTAACTAAACAGTAAGCTAAACTAGATTTGCAAAATTAAATATTCTGAGCTGAACAACACAAACAATCTATATAAAAACCTACCACATGACCAAGCCATGACAGTCTATGCTGTTTTTCTGGAAGCCCAGAAATCTGTTTTGATTGTGTTGCAGTTATGTATCTGTTGCTTTCCTTTAGTACGTGTAGTGATAGAAGAAATGGGGTATGTGAAGACTCGTGATGATGATGAGACTGCAAATCTCATCTGGAGTGATAGTGCTGTGCAGCAGGAAAAGATTGCAGAACTTCGAAACTATCAGGTAAAATAAATCACTGGGTAGCTTCGACCAACTCGGTGGAGGTAATAAATGAAATAGTTTACAGAAGCACATTAGATAGAAAAATGTAGATTGCTTTTGTTTGTGTTGCCCAAGAAACTGATCTTCTCAGGTCTTTAGTTCATTACACGCAAATTGTTTTGACTGTGGGCAGTTGTGGCTTTTGCATTTACTCTGTGTATGTGCTTTGTAGTGTGCAAGTGTATAATCACCGCTTGGATATATCTATCGGTATGACATGCCTGTCTTCTTCTGGTGATGGACTGCAGCCAGTCTGAAAGAAGTCTGAAAATAAAAAACAGTACATTTTTTTGGGGCTGGAGGTATATCTTCTTCCTGGTCCCTTGATAACATTGCTGTTGTTCTCAAACTTTGGAGCAAGGGAAATTTAATATTGGCTGATGCCTTTTTTCAGAATGGTTACACATACTACCTTCTTGTGGGAATTCAGAAAGCAAGAGGTGTGTTTCCTGATTACATATATGTTAGCATAATGCTTGAAAAAGGATTCTAGCTTGACCAGAAGAGGAAAGACAGCATTAATGCTTTCTGTTCTCTTGTAAGCTAATAACGTGGGAAAGAGCCTTCAGGCATGCTTGAATCGGTCACTTACAGTGATCAAGTTGGCATGATGTTAGTATATCTTCATTCAAATATTGCAAACCAAAAACTGTTGGCAATAAGCTGATATTCATTACTTACTATGTCCAGTGCGAAGTTCCAACTGGTTAGTTTACGAAGATATACCCAGCACATATACTGTGTCAACTGATTTTTCCCTTCCTATGTTTACTCACCAACCAGGAGCTCTTTCCTCTTCTGTTTTAGGGTTAGAGTGTTGCAGTAACATTGTTCCCCTTTTTCTAAAAGAATCTCTGGTTGTTGAAAATTTTAATAACTATTGCAGTTGTTCTTATTACTATTATTAATTTACTTTCTGTTTCACCCAATAACTGAACTGTCTGGATAGTTTAAAGCAGCAGATAAAGTACTAACAATGTGTCAGTTACAATACAACATTTAAAAACCCAATTTAAAACAAATTTAGAAAATTACAATAGCTTATGCAAATTAAATCATATGACCTGTTTAAGTAGCTGATGTAATGCCCCATGCCTCAGTATAATAATGAACTAATTAAATGCCCTGTGGTAGAGGACAGTCTTAAACTGGCACTGAAAAGGCATTAAAGTTAGTGGCAGCAGGTCTCAGTGGGGAGCTTATTTTGTAAATGGGGGGCCACCACTGAAGAGACCCTTGCCACTAGCTGAGCCTCCATTGGAGGTGGGTTCTTGATCATAGTGTTTGGATAGAGTGCAGTTGGGAGAGATGTTGTATCTGGTATTGTGGTATTAATGGTGATGTGCAGACCACCATTTGGATGGAGATTGGCTCTCCCTGTCATTCTCAGGTTGCTTTCTGTGGAAAGAGAGTCCTAAGAATCCTTCATGTGTGATTATTCCAATGTCAAATGAGGTAACAGCTGAGAAACCCACAGAATGAGTATAATTGTAAAAATTACAGGTCAATGCTTTCTAGTAAGTTTTCAGAAGGTAGCATAATTAAAAGTACTATTTTGTACTAAATTCATGACCTATTTAAAACACAGCTTGTGCCTCAGATCCTCTCTCTAATGTACATATTCCTCTTTCTTTTTCTCCCCACAGAGAATCAACCATTTTCCAGGAATGGGCGAGATCTGTAGGAAAGATTTCTTAGCAAGGAACATGACCAAGTAACTGTCTTTTACATTTTTTTATACACCCCAGAATAGGCAACTGAGGGCTTGTAGTTCACTTCTGGACCCTGGATTTTATTCAGTTCTTGGTAGCCTTTCCAGACAGCCATGGAGGATGGATCTGTCAATAGCCATTCATCATGATGGCTGTATGGAACCTGTAGATTAAGAAGCGGCAATGGCTACCATTTGATGGGGTAAGGTAGGCACCATTGGATGAAGGAGGTGCAACCACAGTGGAGGGCTGTTGCCTGCATGCTGTCCTATAGTCCCTCTGGTTCAGAGAAGGCCTTGGAGGGGAAGGAAGCCTCATCCAATAAACTTAGTCACTTCTCCAGGGTCATCTGGGCCAGGATGTGCCTCCAGTGCAGTCCAAACTGCCTCCATGTATCTGGGACCAGTGGCTGCAGAAACAGGCAGAGGCTGTTTAAGAAGTAGACAGCTCCTCAGAGGGGAAAGAATTAACAGTGGGTCCAGACCTACTCAGCTTGTTGCTGAGATGACTGTTCATTGTGGTGAGTTTTTGCAAGGGGTCTATCTAGGGTCCTGACAGACCAGCCTTGCCTTACCATTGAGGAACCGGCAATGCCCTGTCTGACCTAGCAACATCAGATGTGACCGTGCTGCAGCAGATGTAATCCAGTAAGTACTCAGCCTCTCCTGGGAGCCAGGCTATGGCAGGACAAAGGCCTTGCTTGTGAACTTAGTAGAAGAATCTGGTTGATTTTTGTGAGGGACAGGAAGTTGGACTAAATGGCCTTTTTGTCTGACACAGCAGGTCCTTTCTTACCTTCATACCAGTGTGAGAAAAGCTTGTCTCATAGCTTTGAAAATAAGAAATGGAAGGGTATGTTCAACTTGGAAAAGATAAGCAAAAGATGGATGTTTTTGTGTAAGTAATTTGCAGCTAGGGTTGCCTCAGTGCATGAGAAGGCTTTACTTTTTCCTGGATCACTGTCAGGAAGTCAGAAATTGTCCATCTCTGATGCAGCCTGCTTGGAAAATTATGGACATAGGTCCTACTCTTCTGCTGAGCTCTGTTAGCATATTCTTGATTGAACCTCCCCGCATTCAATAGAGGAATGGAAGACAGGTCTTTGTGATCTCAGATAATTTCTGTATGCCTATGAGGACCTCCATTTATAGGGTGTTCTCCTAGAGTAGAACCTAGGAAGCTACCTTATCCTGAGTCAGACCACAGATCTGCCTAGCTCAGTATTGCCAAGACTGACTGGAAGCCAGTCTCCAACTTCTCAAGCAGGATTCTTTCCTTTTATATCTGGAATAGCTGGGAACTGAACCTGGATTGTATCTGCCACTGAGCTAAGGCTGCTTCCTACATCTTACGTGATAATTACAGCTTTTCTTTTGCTACACCCAAAGCTCTTTCCACTCTCTGAACATATAAATGGTTTCTCTTCCCTCTTTTTTTAATTACCCAGGTCTCTATTAGGTATCGTTAGTCTGCTACTCAGGAAAATAGTAGCCTTTTCTTTCTGTACGAAGCACATGTGAAGGAGAGCACTGTAAAGAAGGGCCTTTTGCCCCTGGATCTCTAATATAAACCTTTATGTTAGACAACATGTGTGAGAGAGGGGAAGGGAAAACATTTAGGCAGGAGGGGTGTACCTTAGAGGATAGCAATTATCCTTTTCTGGAAGACTGATTTCCTTGAAGCAGAGAAGCAGAAAAAATAAATTAAAAACATTGCTGAAAGTTATTTTTCAGGTGAACATTCTGCAGAAGAGGAGAAACAAATTCTACTCTTTCTTTCTTTTAATGATTGTGCATAAAGGCAACTTTAAGGAACAGTGGCATGCTGACAATGTGTCTTGAGAACAGCAACTGCGAAAATTGGATTTGGCAAGAAGCCATCTTGCCCTGTCCTCTTTTACCTGTAAAAGTTAATATATTCTGATGGGCAACTGAAAGCCATAACAAAACCAGGCAATAGATGCACTTAGACTGCCATAATCTGCTTATGTCAGTGCTTATGTCTCAAGCAGCTACTCTGATTTGTTTGCCGTTTCCACTGAGTCTTCCATTGCCAGAGGAAACCTGGTCTAATCAGCAAGACCTTAGAATAGCTCTCTCCAAAGGCCCACTTGTTTTTCCCATCTGTGTTGCTGTATCTGTGAGCACTCTTAGTAAGGGCTGCTACAGCTCATGCAGCAGCTATGGCAGTAGTGTAAGAAGAGCAGCAGCACCAGAAGGAATAGGGGAGCTCTTGTAATGAGTTCAGCAGAGGCTTTCTAGGGTTTCATACAGGAATCTTTCTTAGTTCTACCTGGAGATGCCAAAGACTGAATCTGGGATTTTCTACCTCCAAAATAAGAGCTTTTTTGCTGAGTCTTGGCACAGTATGAAGGCTGAACCTAAATTATATAAGGACTCCAAGCCAAGAACAATCTTTTAAATAGCATTTATATTTAATATCCATGGCCAGTCAGTCAGGGTAAAATCTATGGTCTTCAGGTTTTCATTTTCTTTTTCAATATGTTCACATCATGTGCTTACTTTATTTTGGAAAGGTGTAGGCCTTCTTTGAAATTCTTTGTAGTCTTGGGGAGGGCATGTGCTTCCCATAAACTCTACCCAGAGCATAAATCAGTCAGATTGGCAGTTCAATTTCATGACAAGTCAGGGTGTGAGATACAGGGGAGATTTTCTGGTATAAGCTCTGTTTAGTTTTCATTTTAAAGGAGCCTGTAAAAGCTGAGCATCTCAAGTCTTGTGCCCAGGTTGGCATGTCTTTTGGGGAGTTTAGTTGATTGATTGATTGGTTCTGTAACAGAAGATCAGTGTTCTAGGGAAAGCTGAAGTTGCCCAATACAATGGATCTCCCTCTCGGCCTACCCCACTGTGTGACTTTTACTACTGAAGGGATTCCTTTCCTCTGTTCCTCTTGTGGATTACTGAATGGGAAGCCAGAGCAGCACCTCTGGAAAGCAGCCATCGTGCAGATATGGGTCTTGTCTAAAACTTCCACGCTCCCTGGTCAGTGGCCATGCTGGCAGGGACTGATGTAAAACATCTGGAGGGCATCACTTGCCTATCCTGGCCTAATCACTTAGGCAACATATTTGGGTGCATATGAAGTGAAACCTTTGGCCTCGTTCCTCCAAGCATGCTCACTACTTGATGATTAGCATGTGTGGACATGAGTGCAGATCATAGAGGGCTAGGAGGAGTTTTTATACCACCAGGTGTGCAATACTTTTCAGTGAAGATGCTTCATATGTTCACCATGTGAGGGTCAAATTACATATTATGTTAACTGGTCTTCCCCTCCATGTGAGAGTTGCAGAAGGAAAAGGCATTCATGGGTGCCATTGAAGGCTTTTTCCCTTTGCGTGTGCACAGGCAGATACATGCGTATATGTGTAATTTCAGGAAGCAAATTGGCAGGCCGTGATTAAGAGTGCAGTGCTAAAAAGAAAAGAGAGAAAGAGAAAACTCTCATGCTGGGCGATTAAGGGTGAAATCTTGTGCATGTTTAGACTGAAAAAAGTCCTAGAATTCCCGGTGTGCCCCAACCTGCCATGCTGATTGGTGCCTTGCTGGGAGTCATGGAATGTTATTCTGCCTAAACATGCATGGGATTGTACCCAAAGAATGTACACTTTGACCCTGAGTCATCAAATAATACAAAAGTAAGAGATGGTAATGTGTATATGAGCTAACCTGTTCATTGAATACAGGAAGGTGAAATACTCCCATGGAGCTAAGAATATCACAAAAGATGTAACTGGCCAAACAGTTAAACAAGGCAGTAATAGAATTCTGATTATGGTAGTTTGACAATAATGTACTGAACCATGGCAGTGCCAACATCTTTGACTACAATGACCTGTAGCACAATAATACAATCTTCAGTGGCAATTCTTTTCTTTCACATTGCATTTTCTTTGTTGCACAATTAGTGATTTGCTTTTGTAACAGGGCATGTATTGTACTGAGACCTTGAAATTCTTGGCTCCTGTCCTGGTTTTACAGATGTACTTGGCAATTTTTACAGCTTCTGGAACCAAGACAAGCATAACCCTCCCCACCCCATCTGTGTAATGTTGTTCGATACCATCAACGCTCTTAGCTTTTTGTTTACTTTCCACTTCATACCCAGCAGTGTATAGGGATACTACATCTGCACCAATGTTTCACTGCACAAATATTTCTTCTGATGCCTCAACTTTGGGCCTGTCAAAATACTGGTTTATATCAGAAAGTCCAGTGGAATAAAATGAATCATAATTCACACAAATACATTCTTATTTCCTTCTCTTCCCACTGTCCCTGCAAATGAAGGAGTAAAAGTAAGTGGTGAAGGATGTAACGGTACTAATGAAGATTTTGTTCCTTAAAGTTTCCCTGTGAATTTCTGAAGGAAGATTCAGAGAATGGAAAATACCTTTCAGATGTATAAAGAAGAAAATCCATGCATGCCAGTATTCATCAAAAACTAAAGAGTCTTGTGACGTGTTAAAGATTAGCACATTTATTTTGACATTTTATTTCATGGCTATCACCTACCATATCAGATGCATCTTCTGATAATGATATAACTGGAAATGATGGATAGACAGATTCCATGAATGTATTTTCACATCAGCTTTCTCAGATACTGTCCATTTACCATTTCCACTTAGCATTATCAGTGGATGCATCTGATGTAGTGGATTGTGTCCACAAAAGCTTATTCCAGATTAAATTCATTAGTCTTCATGATACCGCGAGACTTTTGGTTGTTTTTGCTGAGGCAGACAAATGATTCTACCCTAGAAATGTATATAATTTTGTTCATAATATGGCCAAGCCTGCCATATGTTCTGTTGCATCAGTTAATTTATTGTGGCAATTACAGATTGGTCTTAAATCATTTTGGTGTACACCTTGATCTAGTTGGTGGCATTGAATCCCATGGAGCATTTAGGCTGCAACTGTGTGCATGCTTAGTTGGGGGGAAGGTAGTATTTACCTCAGCAGGACATACTTATGAGTAAGCCTGTCTAGGATTGCTTTGTTGGAGGTCCAGCATATTAGTTTCTGGCATGGAAATGTACCAAGCTTAAAAGTATGAAAAATCTTCTACACTGACTCTTACATTTGTTTTTCAGAATGATTAAATCTCAGCCTCAGGAATATAGTTTTATTCCTCGAACATGGGTCTTCCCAGCAGAGTATACACAATTCCAGAACTACGTAAAAGAACTCAAGAGGAAACGAAGACAAAAAACATTCATAGTTAAACCAGCTAATGGGGCAATGGGACATGGGTATGTGTGGCACAAATAAGACTCCATGGGTTTTAAGTTTTGTGGGTTTTCCTTCATTTTTAATGTACTGCAAATTACATTAAATATGGATTTTATTTTTCTGTTGAACAGATTAAGTAAGAATGATGGTTAAATATTCTATTTGTATTATGCTAAGCATTTACTTCCAGCTAGTGGGTGGGATTTGTTTTCCTTTTTTGTACTTGCTTGTACATTAACTTGGGTCTGTATATTTTTCAGTGGTTTATTTTATAGAAGTATCTAGCACAGACTTATGAACAGTAAATGATTTTTAATACCTAAAGTTAAATGGTCACATGGTATCACTGGCTCTTGGTTTAAGGGTAGTTTGATTAAATACAGTGTTAGTAGTTTTCTGTGTTGGGATTGTTTTAGGGAAATACTTGTAGGTACTAGGAACATAACTGATGGTATCCACGTTGGAGCAGTATAGAATAAAATTTTCCAATAGGGGAAAATCTGATGAGTTAAAAAGCTGATATAAATTCCTCTGTCATCAATTATTCTTTACAAAGTTAAAGTGTATATAATCTCTACTGTTGCCAGCATCTTGAGGATCATGTCTTCCGTGGGAGTCACTATGGCTTAGTGGTAGAGCACCAGCTTTGCATGCAGAAGGTCCCAGGTTCATTCGCCAGCACCTCCTGGCAGGACAGGAAAAACACCTGCATGAAACTCTGAAGAGCTGCTGCCAGGCAGTGTCAGCAGTACTGGACTGGATGAACCAAGGGTTTGACTCAGCATAAGGCAGTTTCCTATGTTTCTTTGGTGACCTTATAGCCATTACTTGCGCAGATCAGCATAGGACCTCAGGGGTGCAATCCTATGTATGGTTAGAACAACAACAACAACGAACTCTGTGCGTTCCCCATTCAGTAGTTGTAGGACATTTTGCATTCTGAGCATGCATAGGCTTGCACCCTTGGGTTTAAATATGCTGGAGATAATTTTCATTGCTTTAGTATAAAAACTGGCCTTAAAAATAGAAAGTAGTTTAAATATTCCACAGTCTATTGTTCACATGCTGTATATGGCCTAGGACAATCTTCCCCAACCTGGTGTCTTCCAGGTATGTTAGATTACAATTCCTAGCATTACCGACCATTGGCTTTGTTGCCTGGCACTGGTGATTCAGAGCATCTGGAGAACACCAGGTTGGGCAAGGGTTGCCTAGGGGAATGAAGTTTGAGAGATCTAACTTAAGAGGATTGGAATCCCCTGTATTCTTATGAACCAGATAATGGGCAGAATCCAACATTGCCTGTGTACTGGTGAGATGTACAACTTGCTTAGCAGAAAACTAGGGGTTCCTAAAGCAGCCAGAAAGGACTTCTGGAAGGGAGCTCCACTGTTCTGCCTCTTCCTTGAGCAGGCATTTCTGGTGTAGTTCCAGTTAGCTCTCGCTTTCTGCTGTGGTAGCAGGCTGTACCACTGGCACAGCAGGAGCCGTAGAAGTGCAGCAGCAGTGTTGGCTATGACCCCGAATGAGGAGTAAGAACTGAAACTGCATTTCTGGGGGTTTGCTCACTTTTCAGTGCTTTTAATTTAGCTTTGTGTTTTTAACTAGGATCTCTCTTACAAGAAATGCAGAGAAGTTGCATTCTCAAGAACACCTTATAGTCCAGGAATACCTTGACAAGCCCTTTCTTATGGAAGGCTACAAATTTGATTTAAGAGTGTACATTCTGGTGACTTCTTGTGATCCATTAAAAATATTTTTATATCATGATGGGCTAGTAAGAATGGGCACAGAGAAGTATCATCCCCCCAGTGAATCAAATCTGGTAAGTTGTGTTAAGGTCAAATGAAGGACTTCATAGTACTGCACAAAACTATTTGGGTAATAACAAGGCTCTCTATTTGCAGGAGAGGAAGGTGACTTGATTACTGCAAGATAGATTGCTTTCATTATATTTGCCCTGATTGCTGAATGCCATTTTGAGTAAAAATAATGCACACTTTTAGCTGCAGCATAAATTGCTATTTTATTCCATGCTTGTCTTCCTGTGTTGAAATCTCAGTAAGAACAAGTTCATTTTGATGGGATACAGACTTTGAAAATACTTTAGTCCTATTCAGGCTCTGAAGATGCTACAATTAACCTTGCCTGGGTGAGGAATGGGGTGAAGTGATGCTGGCCCTGTCCACCCAAAACACTCCCTTCCATCCTCACCCTCTTGCTGTCCACACTTTGGGGAGAAGATCTGAAGGCAGGAGGCTGTTTCATATACATTGGCATGTGCTTTAAAGAGACTTTACTGAAAGAAAGTGTGTGGGACATGTTCTAGAGCAAGACTAATGGGATACTCCCTACTGCGATCCTGATTCAGATCCAAGCCTTCACATTTGCAAACTGGAGTGCCGAAAATGTCAAAGTCATTGAAATGACAGGATAATTTCTTTTGCCAGTGTAAATGGCAGGAATGGGGGATTCGGTTTAGATTAGGACTGGGGGGCGGGGGCAGGGGGCAAAAAGTTAAAGGTCCCTTATCTCCAGCTCTGAATTGAGTTGCCTCTGCTTGCTGTTGGGTATACAATGAAAAGCAAAACAAAAAGAAAACCCTTGGTTGCTAGTAAACAATGGCATGAAAATAATGTGCAATGTGGCTTGTAGAGCCTTGATTGTAGGGGACTGGGGGAAAGCAGAGGCAGTGTTCAGTGTTAGGGAATGGTGCATTAGACCTGGAGCCCTGAGTCTTTCATATGGAGCCCTGAAGCTCTGGGAAGCATTTCTCCTGACACTGAATTCCCTGAAATTGAAGGAACTCTCCCCAGTCTCTACATCCCTTGTTACAAATAGGGGTGTCTTTGGGAGTCAGGGCCTTTTGAAGACACACAAGCACAGTTTAGAGCATGCAGAAATTAGGAACCGTAGTAAGTAGAATAAGCCCTCCCTTCTGAACTCCCCCCCCCACCCCCAGATGTGGACATGGGCCTGGGGCCAGGGTCAGCAGGCATGGGCTGACTATCTTTCTCCATGTGACTATACTTGCTCGAAGGAGGATATTTATTTATGTATTACATTTGTGTACTGCCCAAAAGCCAAACTTTGCCGATCAGCTGAGGAGAAACCAAAATGTAGAACATGATAAAAGTAAACTTAAAAGAGCAATATAAAGCCATTAAAAAGAACAGCAGCAGTGTAAAGATTTCAGCATACAGTAGCAGGTTGAAAAACACTAGAAAATGAAAGACTAAAATGGCTTCAGAAATAAGAATTTTTTCACCTGGCTCTGAAAAGACCACACCATAGGCACCAAGTGAGCCTGTCTAAAGAAGGAATTCTATAACCAGGGTGCCACCAAAATAGGATTCTTTCCTCCTCTTCTGCTAGTCCATTTAGTTAACTTCTAATTTGCCCATAACAATAAACCTTCCAGAGATGGTGTACATTGAGGCAGTGAAGACCCGAATGCCAATTTCAAATTAAAACCTCACAGATACTACTCCATCAGCAGCTTCCCTATACCCTGCAAACTCAGAGGATGCAGGCCCAGCCTTGACCCCTAATGGATGGAGAAGCACTAAAATGGAGAAGAGATGTGACAATATCTCTCAACATAGGGCTGGAGGGAAAGAGAAATTTTATTTTTAATTTATTTAAAACATTTCTATGCCGCCCCCATCGCAACAAAGCCTTGGGGAGGCTCACAACAAAAACAAACAAAATCATATAAAAATCTATACACTAAAAATATTAAAACCCGGTGCATATCGGCTTAAATTTTTTAAAAAAATCCTCCATAATAAATTAACACTTAAAATAAGTTTTAAATAAAAAGGTCTTAGCCTGGCGCCGAAAAACAAATAACGGCGCCAGGCAGACCTCTCTGGGGAGCGCATTCCATAGGTGGGGTGCCACCGCAGAGAAAGCCAGATGTCTTCCCAGTGATGGATTCCACAAGTTCTTATGTGTTCAGAAAGCATTTCAAGTCAGGTCACCTTTGTGTTGCCTATTGGTATTCCTGGGATTTTTGGCCAGAAGCTAGAATGAATAGTACAAATCAGTTTATATAGCTCTGATAAACAGGTCTGGAGGAGCAAAGAGGAAATGGCCACTTCTATCTTGCTTGACTTGTGAAGCTTCCAGAGGTCTGATCAATATGGAAAGCAAAGTATGGAATACGTGACTCCTTATTTGAACCGGCATAGCAATTAAAAAAAAAAAAGTTCTCAAATGACTGAAGGTGCAGCCCTATCAATTATGCCATCAGTGCTCATAAGCTCTCAGACTCACAGGCTTATGAGCATCCAGTGCAGAATGGGAGGAGTAACAGAGGTGATCTCCAGGTCTCTGCTTAGTTTGCTCTGCATTTTAGATAGATGCATGCTGTCCAGCTTAGCCTGCAGCACCATCAGGGTGCCTTAAATGCTGGCAACCCCAGCCTCTTCCCATCCTTTGTACCAGAAATCCCCCTTTACCCCCTCCATCAGGTTGATTTTCTGCCCACAAAGAGGCAGCCAGTGTGTGATGGGGGAATCCAAATTATTCTAGGGGCTCTCCGGAGACCAAGTCTAAGGGGCTCATAAGATCATTCTCTTTGACAGCAACTTCCACATGGGAGAAACTGAATTTATGTTATGCTATGCTGTTATTTCTTGCTTTCCTCTATTTGCTACATTCATATGACACCATTTGTCTGCCAAGGGACTTAAAGCATCATTCATGCAGTTCCCAGTTGGTCTCCCATCGAGTCTTGACCAGAGCAAGAACTCTTTTGGCAGGTGGCTGTATTGTGTGACCTTAGATCATGTGTGGTAGCGGACAGCATCTATGCCTGAAAAATGGTGAATATTCAGAGTTTTGCAAGCCCTTTGGGTCTGTGGATACTTAAAACTTTGAGAGTGTTCTGAGTGGTTGCATGAAATCACCGCCATGGGACTGCCCATTCATAAAATGGCTACCATGATGAGCATGGTCACTCACAAAATACTCCTTTCCCATAAGGCAGACTGGAGAGACTAAAAGAAAAGAAACATGGCCAAGGTATCAGTAAGTACCAAGCAGGATTAAAAAAACCCTCAACCCCTCATTCTTTGAACCCAGAGAATGAGGTTGTTGGTAAGTAACACTTTGTCTTTTAGGATGTCTGCCTCTCAGTAAAAAAAATTAATTAAGACATCTTAAAAAAAAGAACAAAAATCAGGAGAGTCAGCAGGTCAGCAGGTGCTAAAGGTGTCTCTGTAGGTGCACTGGTGCCTGTGGGCACAACCTTGGGAACTGCTGGTACACATGACCTCAGTTCTTGTTCTGAAGATAGGAGGGAGATGGACTGAGCCTGCATTAAAGAAAAATAAATCTTCTCTGGACTTCCCTGATTCTCTTCCTTTATCTCCAGAGAAGACCTGCAATGACAGAACGTAGCTGTTCTTTTCTATTTGCTGTGCGCACACATCTTTTGTGCAACAACTATTTACATGACCCTATAAAACACTCAGAAACCTGAGGCTCCAGTCCACCAAGACATCTACTTTACTGGAAGAGAGTAGGCAGGCTTGTTTCAAGCACTGTTGACTTCAAACATGCCTGCCTTTTCCTGGATCAGGGCATTGCTGTGTATTGCGTAATGCTGTCTGTCATTGTGTGATCACAGATACTAAAAAGTCACGCTATGCTTTTAAGATTAGGGCCACAGCTATCTAATATTCAAGTGATAAGAAATTAAGAAGGGTCATTAGATGGTCTTGCATTCTAGGATCACTAGAGACAGAAGAACTTCATTTATCAACTTTCTCCCTACTGTGTTTCATTTTATATATCTCACTCTGATTCCCTTTTATCCTAAACTAAAACCTAGAGCTTGCATGCCTTCCTTGTATGGGCATTGGTTCAGCTCTCGGATAATTTTGGTTGCCCTTTTCTGCAGTTTTTCCAGCTCTGTAATTATGCCTTAATAATTCTGCAGTGTAAAGGTTTTATCTCACATCCTTGATACTCCCTCAAACTGGCTTTAAGAAGATGGCAAATTCTGTTTTCTACACCTGTAACTCAGGCACTCTATTCTGCCTTGCTTTATTTTAGAGCCAGTTGTACATGCATCTGACAAACTACTCCGTGAATAAGCATAATGAGCGTTTTGAACGGGATGAAACAGAAGATAAAGGCAGTAAGCGCTCTATAAAGTGGTTTACTGAGTTTCTGCAAACAAATCACCTTGACGTTTCCAAATTCTGGAATGATATTTCAGTAAGAGAAAACTAATTTGCAATAGCTGTTTTTATGTTTATGTTTGCATAGTAACAGTACTCCTCACCTCTTAACATGCACCGGAATGTTATGTGGCTCTAATGCTTATTTCTGTAGCAAGTTCCTGTTAGAATGTGTAATTTTTAATGTAGTCAAAATTATTAGAAGACATACTTCATGCTGTGTTTATTCTTTGGGGGCAAGACTTTTGCATGCATTGAAAATGGAATTGTTCCAGACGATTGAAGTATGCATTGGACACAATCATCAGACTATATTGTCATTTCTGATTCAAAACCCTAACACTGATTTGTTCATGTGTTCTTCTGATTTTGAGTGAACCCAGCAGTTGATTAGATTCTTAAGCACCACATGTCAATCTTGTTTCTATACTGCGATGTTTTGTGTCATCTCCAAAAAATTAATCACAACGCTGCTTTGCTGCCCCTTCTTTCTGCACAATCCACTAGGAATTAGTGGTGAAGACACTCATAGTAGCAGAGCCACATGTCCTTCACGCCTACCGTATGTGTAGACCAGGGCAATCTCCAGGAAGTGACAGTGTTTGCTTTGAAGTTCTGGGATTTGATATTCTCCTTGACAGAAAACTCAAGCCATGGCTCTTAGAGGTAAGCTGCTTTAAAAATAATTTTTAATAAATGTGCCAGAGCCAACTTGTTCCCTGTGCACAATACCTTTGTGGAAGGAAAAGACAAATGTCATTGGGAAAAACAGAAATTTTCTCTCTGCTTGGAATCCTGTGCTCACCTGTATGTTACTTGGCTTTCTGGATCATGGCACCAATGATTCATGGCCTAGAAATGTGCTGTTTAAAATTTGCTCCTATGCAAATTGGTAGCCATCTCTTTCATTTTAGAGAGTTCTTTATTCAAAGTTTACGAATCTAAGAATAAAGGAGGAAATGCTGTCCTTTTCTCCCTGCTTATACTCACATGACCTTTTGCTCTCTCAAAGTTGCAAGCAACTGCAAATTCCTAACAGGGACTTGCATATCTTTTCAAGGGAACTGATTTATACCATCTAGTGGATGAAATGTAAAATTCCTTTTCAAGTAGAGCAATCTTGTTAAATTTATTTCATCTATTTTTCAGTGGAAAATATTGCACTTTAACCAATGCATGACTAGCAGCCATTATTCAGAGGGATGTACAGTATTAAGGGCTACATGTTGAATAGATCCAAAGGTGTTCTTTCATTTGCATTAGTCGTCTTTTCCAGACAGCTGACTGCTTTCTAGTTGCTTGGAATTCTTAGCAGTTTAAAGTGGCTGGATAACTTACATGCTGGACTCATCATTTTAGAACTTTGAGGTAGCTGTGCTGAAGTAGCTGTTCTTGGTGACATGCAGTGCATCTATGTGGGAGCAGTGGTTCTGTGCTGCATCAGATTATATGGGAAACAGGATGCTTGTTAATACAAAGAATTGGCACAGATGCTCAGTGCATGACTGTCTTGGAAAAACTGAGTTGGTGCAGAATCCAAGTAGATGTGCAGGACAGGGAAGAACATGATGCCACAGTGAGTATAGGCAGGTGAAATGAACAGTGGAAATGAAGAGCATCCCATGGGATGGGAGAGGAAGGCAAGGGGACAAGAATGAATTTGCAACTAGAATTGGGTAAGGGAGATATTAAGTCAGAAACATATTCCAGATCAGGTCCTAATTCTGTGTGGACAGGAATGTGAGAAGAATGTCATTTATGCCCTAGTCAGTGCTGAACTGGCTGACTGCAAGGTTGGGCTACATATGGCCTATGGGCTGTATGTGGGTGCTGCTGTGCTCCAAATGTAGAGCGACCCAGAGAGATTTTTATTGTTAAGGAAAACAGGGATGTCAGTAGTGGCTGTGGAGCACTCATTTAGCTTGTCTGGGCACTGCAAACACAGCAATAGCCATGGGGCAAAAATGACGGCCAGACCTCCTGAAGCTGCTTTCCCTTGGCTTATGTGCTTGGACCGCCTTTCATGCAGTTTGTAAACATTTCTGTATAGTGTGCTGCTGCAACACTGTTGACTGAAGCTGGGAAATGAGAAACACCATCCTAAGATCATCTGCTTTGCCTACTGATTTCTGACTGGGTTTCAGGTTCATTCAAAGTGCTGGTTTTGACTTTAAAAACCTAAATAGGCATTTTGGCTGTTTAATCATTTCCATGTGTATGGAAATTCCAGTTAAACCCTTTGGGGATCCTGAGATGGGCGCATTTCCTATTCACTGATAGTTGGATGGTTTCCCAGTATTTGCAGTTTTTTTTCATTCTTAAAGGTTAAAATATCTTTTCTAAGACTTAGTTATTGGCAGTAAGTTTACTGCCACTTTTGCTTTTGACCTTGCCCAACACTGGAATGTATCCCCTGAGAACTTTTATAAAATTGAATATGGCTCATACCACTAAAATAGGTTTGACATCCCTGCTTTAAGTTGCATAAATGTATACATTTGTAATTTTAAACAACTGGAATAATAATATTAGAGTAGCCCTGCTGGATCAGGTTGAAGGCCTGTCTAGTTCAGAATTCTGTTTCCATAGTGGCCAACCAAATGCTTGTGGAAACCTCACAGATCAGACAATATTGGTCCATTTTTGGTGCCAGTCTTGGTTAACCTGCATTGCCACTAACCTCATAGGTGCCCATAACTCAAGCCTAGACTAATAAACTGAGGGAAGCACTTACTTGGACTATATAGAGCAGGGGTCTCAAACTCAACTCACCTGGGGGCCGCTGGAAGTAGAGCCTGGGTGAGGCTGGGCCGCATCAAGTATTCCACCACCGCGGTGGGGGTGGGCTGCTCATCCCATGTGGCTCCTGGAGGCTGGCCCGGGCGCCGCCGGTGCTTGGAAGGCCGCAGGGCCCCTCCCTTCCGCCCCACCTGTCCCGGCAATTGGCCCGTGGGCCACGAGTTTGAGACCCCTGGTGTAGAGGTACCTGGCCATGTTTGAGATCGCTGGTTTTCCAGTTTTCTGTGACGGCTGTAATAGAGTTCCCTTCCACGGACGTGCTGTCTGAACAGTACTGCGTACTTCAGTCATACTCTGTGCAGTCAGCTCACGGAGGAGTGGCCCTGGCGTGAGCCCCATGGTCATGGGAACATACTTGGTTGATTGCAACTCTGGCAGAATCTGCAATAGCTTATCAGCTTTTTCTAGCTGCGAAGATGAGTAAGACACTTGGAACTGTATAGGATTTTTCCCTTTAGTTCTACCTTGTAAAACACAGGTGACTTTTAAGGCTGGCCATGTTTATTCTACAAAGTACACTACTAGAAAGGAAAAAAAAGACCAGTTTTATGTTTTTGGGGACACTGGCTTTTTTCCAATCTGCTAGGGGGATTCTTTATGTATTTAGAATTCTTTTGTATTAAGCCCTAATAAAATTAAGTTTATAAAGATGTTTGTAACTGGTTTGTTTGTGTTTAAAGGCTTAGTTAGAATAGGATATTTTGTAACATGGGCCAACGTTTTGTTGCTCAGCAGACTCTATTGCAGCTTTGAATCACTCTACAAGCTATGATGCAGTATTAATGTCCCACGTTTAACAGCAGCCATCATTAATACTTACAACACAGCTTTTCCTTAAAATCCCATTGTTTTGGTGACATTTTACATACCATCAGCACTACTTGTTTATGCCATGTCTTATGTGCAGATGAGGAGAATTCTGTGGATGAGAATGTGTGTCCACACCAGGGTACATTTTGCAAATTTATCTTCCGAAAACTGGGCCCAAATGGGGTGTGTGGGTAATACACACATGGAAGGAGGGAGAGATATTGCAGATTAGATATAAAGATAAATATATAGATGTGTGCCAAAGTGCCTATTTTTCAGTTATTACTTTGTGGGCTTAACATTCCTGAAGTTGTTCTGTTCACTTTGATTTTTCAGATTAATCGAGCCCCAAGCTTTGGTACTGACCAAAAGATAGACTATGATGTGAAGAAAGGCGTTCTGCTGAATGCATTAAAGCTGCTCAATATAAGGTAAACTTCTGTTTCCAGTTGTTCCTTTTTATTGTTAGTAAAAAAAAAGTAAAGATAAAAAATAGAGACGTGTTTACATTTTGATGTCTAAAAGTCATGAAAAATTCTCTTTGGAAAGCATGTAATTTATACAAAAGTTGTTGAATGTATACATGTGAGCTGAATTTAACATCATTCTCTCACCAAATGATATACATACTAGCAAAAAACAGATTAAATCCTTGCCTGGGTGTTCTAATTGTGAAGCAATTTTTTGAGGCAGCAGATTCTAGAAGCTTACCTTATTTTTGTCTGTAATATCTCACGTTGAGTTTCAGCTAAAACAAATAAATAAGGGTAAGAAGCTGGACACATCTATGACTATTCTCTTTGGGGATGAAGATGACTAAGGCTAGAACTGGGAAGGGCTCTTTTGTTCCATAACTTATTTGGGTTCTTTAAGATCACTAAATGGGATTTCAGTTCAAGTGGATTGTGGAAACAGTACAAGCAAGAGAACTGGATATTAAGGTAGGTTGTTGGTATATAGGTTCATTCTCTGAGCCATTCTGATAATGGGTTTGAAAGGGAACTTTGTCTTGGGAATTATCCAGAGTGTAATGTTAGAAGGAAAACATGGTTTATGATGGGTGTTTATGAATAATTATTTCTTTCTCAGTTCAGCTACCTGTGCAGTTAGGGCCAAAGCACACATTATTTTAAGGATGTGCCAGTGACTGCATCTTTTTTCTGGTCTACCATATGTGCAGTTGTCCCAATGCGGACTGGTTGCTAGTGCAAGGTGTAGGAGGGCTTAAGCCCTTTCCCACATCCTGCAATCCCAATATCGACCATGGGGCTCCAGGCCTACCATATATATTGCCAGACAAAAATCCATTTACTATAACGGATGAAATCCAGGTTTTTTGGGTTTCTGGTTCTACTGATAAGGTTTTGGGAGTTGTTGACATTTTTTATTTCGGTTTAGGTATGTTTTTGTGCTGCTTAGATTGAGGCCTAGTTACTTTGGTTAATATGATCTTTTTGGTGTATTGAAGTCTATTTGAATGCACTCTCTTAGTTTACTTAGTTTAATTCTTAGCCCTTTGTGGAGGAGTGAAACTGACTCTCTGAGCAAAATTTTCCCTTTTCAAATGATTTTAGTTGCAAATACTTTATAGGCTCCTCCCATATGTAGTGCACATTATTTCTTTATTTTTAATAAGTATATGATTAGAAGCTAGAACTGAAGGAAAATTATAGCTGGCTTTATTTCCTTCTGAAATGAGCAGATAAGTCATATAATTACTTCTTGTAAACTGTTGTAATAAAAGATCCAAACACAATAGATACTTGGTTTTCAAAGTGCTAATTATAAGAAGACAGATACATCCAAGATCCTTTTCAACTCTTATCCAACTCTCATGTTCACTCAGGATTTTACCTTAAGCTGAGAAGTCAGAAATACCCTCCCCTCTGCCCCACCACCCCAATCTTGTTTTCTCTGTCAAGCTCTTTTCCTTCTTCCAGTTCTAGATTCTCCTCCATAATTTCTTGGATAGAGAATCCAGCTGGTTGCAATAAATGTGGGGAATTATAGGTCACAGGAATGCCACTTTAGTTAAGGTGAGTTGCAAAAAAGCATTTCTACCATAAGCCTCCATATACTGTTGCTTATAAAAATGACACACATTGAACTAATAACTAAAAACTTGGCATCCTCAATCTACCTGTGGAGGTCTACAAATGTATTAAAATTTCAAAAGATCTAATGCAAATTGCCACAGATAGAGCAAATTGAAAAGTGCTAAAAATCGACCCTTTCCTACTTTTTCGTAATGCTGCAGCTTGGCATATTATGTATTTCTTTCAAATTCTAAAGGAAATTACTGTTATTCTTTAAGTAAGCATCTTGTCCCTTGATTTGGTTTGGTCAAGTTCTGAGGAATAGTTTAAAAAGTTCATGAAAGCCTGTGGCAGCAACTGCTGGCAAAGGCAGTTCAGGCATGCTCAGTTTCACTCTGAAGCTAGAAAGTTGCCAGTATTTCAGTGTTTTGAATCCTACTGTTCCTGTCAGTTTTCTAATAGTGCAGGAGGAGTAGTGGAGAACTGTCAGCAGAGATAAGCATGATGTAATTTTGAAGGCTGAGAGTCTCATTCTCACAGGTGAAAAAAGGAAGGGAAAGCAAAGAACTCTACTGGGATCCTGTGCAGCTCTTATTTTTGAACATATAGGACATAACTGTTTGTTTGCGCACATCAACCCAGTTAATGATTTTTTGTGCTTAGGTTTTTTTTTAAAATTGTGTAATATATTTCTTTTAAAAAAATCAGGGAAATTCAATTACCCAGAAACCTACTAGTAAGAAGTATCTCATGTAGGCACAAGACAGGAAATTGGACGCTTCAGCTGAAGCCTTAACTCATGTGCATTATGTTCAGTAATGGTGTTGTGCAATGTGACAAACAGTGATTGCCATCAATGAACAGGCGTGGCTCAACTCACAGGAGGATTCCTCTAACAGCACATTAAGATTCATACGCTTCATAAGGCAATATGGGGCCAGGTCAGTGTGGGGCATCCTGGCTGGTCCCAGCCACTCCCTCTGAGAGACCAAAAGTGCGAGAGCATGGAGTGCAGGTACACTGAGCGTAAGTTGTAGGTGAGCATACTTTGTGGCGTTGCACATCATTGCTATTCACATTTGTTAAGGCATCTGCTAAACGTTCAGTTTCCTGGTTTTGTGGAGCTGTGCTGGCAGTTACAACTCCATCCCCTGTGAACATCTGCCCCATGTTGCACTCCTGGAAAGGATGGGTTGAAGTGGCAGCTGTTGTCTTTTCCACTACTGGTGCTCACTTCCTGGTCCATCTGCTGGAGCAGACAGGTAGCCCAGAGGGTGTGCAGGAGCGGTGGCCTTTGCTGCTTACCTGCCCAGTGCCAGGTAACATCTGGATCCTAGCTGTCCATGTTGTTTTCCCAGGAGGCACTTTGCCTTTCGCATTGTCAGACAAATGGTGGAAGGGGTAGAAGGAGAGGGGCTGCAAGCTGCTCTGTTTTTTTCTGCTCACCTGCCTACCTGACATGCCTTAGAAAGCATTCCTTGTTGGCTTTTGCATACAAGGTTGCTAGTAAACCTGCAGGTGAATGGACAATGCCAGATGACAAACGTGGTCGATGGAAATGTTCTTTGTTGGAGTTCCTCTTCATCATATCAGCCTGTTATTTCACTTTCAGGCCAAGCGATAAAAGAAAAAATTTAGCCAAGCAAAAAGCAGAAGCCCAGAAGAGACTTTATGGCCAAGGTTCAATGAAAAGGCTCTCACCAGTATCTTCTGACTGGGAGAAACAGCGTCGCTCACTAGAAAGAAGGCGAGAGGAACTGGTATTTTTTTTAACCAAATAAATAGGAAAGCAACAGTTTCTATCCTTTTCTCAAGGGTATGTGTTCAATAACCTTTTGAATTTTCTTGATTTCTAGAAAGAGAGACTTGCACAAGTCCGCAGGCAAATCTCTAAAGAAGAACATGAAAATAGGCACATGGGAAATTACAGGTAAATTTCCGGACTCAAAATGAGCCTTGGATTTTGTTGCTTTGTAATGGATATCACTGTGCTAAAACCATGCATGTACCAAGGTCCCTTCCTGTGGGTGGCAGAAGATTGTGATACAAACAGCCCATTTATTTTAGAAGTGTTACCCAGGTACTTGGTTTCCAGACCCTTTCAGTAGTAGCAGGAGTGCAGACAGTCCTGACTCAATGCAAGTCACAGAACTGGAAAATCAGGAGCCATCGCCCGGGATGGGCATGCAGTTTTCCTCTACACCAGGGGTCCTCAGACTTTTTCAGCAGGGGGCCAGTTGAAAGGTGCCGGCAGTGTGCGTGGGCTGGTGAGGGGGCGAGGGTGGCGCATGCGGGTGCATGCACTGAGGTGGGGTGGGCGTGTGGCGAGGCGCGGTCAGGTGGGCACGGGGAGGGGAGGGGAGGGGAGGGGAGGCGGCAGGAGCAGGCACATGCCACAAGGCAGGTGCATGAGGCAGCGTCTTGCTCGTTCGGAGATGGCTTTCTCCAAGCGAGCAAACCGCTGCCTCCCCTATGCGCGGGGCAAGGTGGGCAGCGGTGGGCGTGCATGCGCCAGGTCCAAATGGGCATGGCAGGCCAGATAAATGGGCATGGCGGGCCGGATCTGGCCTCTGGGCCGTAGTTTGAGGACCCATGCTCTACACAGTGTGTTTCTCCCTTCTTACAATTTGTGGTTAAGATGGGAGGTTAGCTTTAACAATAGTTAGTGTCAGTGCAGGTCCAGTTCTAAATCATGGCCACAGCTGAGAAGGTGCCATGCTCGGTGTAGTCAGCGGGCATTTCCTCTCCCCCGCCTCCCTTTCCTCTCCTCTTGTCCCCTGCTTTTAGCCAAACCCAGGCTGGGGCCAGCAAGTTGCAATTAGTTTGCTTGGCTAAAGGGAGATGGCAGCCAAGCTCCCAGTTTCTTGCCATTTAGCTTTGGCTCATCACCCATTAGGGCAAACCATGCCATAGCTCAAATACTCTAATCCAGCCCGGTGCCCTTCAGAAGTTTTGGACTTCTGAACTCCCATCATTCCTAACCATAGGCTATACTTGCTGAGGGGGATGTGAGCTGGGGTTTGGGGGAACTAGGCTGGGGAAGACTGGTCTATGTAGTGTCAATATGTGAGCGAGTGTCCAGTCCAGAAAGCTCATTTGGTAAGCATAAAAAAGAAATACACACCTTGGAGGAAAAAAAGCAAATAAAACACTGAATCAGAGTGTTGGTCTACCTAAACCTGTACTAAGCAGTCCAGAGGAACAAGCGTTTATATCAGGGTTGGTCCAGCAATCTGTAATGCAGGGGTGCCCAACCTGTTTGGCCTAGAGTGCAGCATGTGATGCTGGCATACACAGAGGCTCAGGCCTGGGCTCAGTACAGGTGACAGGCAATGCACGAGCGGGTGGAGAGTCACCCAGCCTAATGAAGCAACACAGGACTGACAGAGTTGTGTGTCTGCATTTTTAAAGAAAACGTGGGCAAGCAATGGCCTTTCCTGCTGCCTTTTGTAGCATTTACTGCCTCTTGAACTCATTTTAAGATTCTGAATTATGACTGCAATATCTTATTACTATTTCATGTCTCATGCATACCTGAAGATGACATTTCAGTGTGTATTCAGATTTTTAACCCTCCATATTTTCACACATGTTCCTTTTTTTCTTTTTGTGGTTAGTAACCCCTCCCCTCCCCTCCCCAACCCCAAGCTTCCTAGTTAAGTCACATATGCAGTCATTTAATTAGTGTGAGAGCTTTTACAATGTATGTTTCATATTTGTGGTAAAAGCAAAATGAATCTGCTAGCAGAGGATCTTTTTGACTGATAGACTGGCAGAATGCAAGAAGGCCTTCTCAGTGGTGGCACCTCCCCTCTGGAACGTTCTCCCATGCCCAGTTCCCGCAGAAGAGACTGTGCCCCCTTTCAGATGTCTCTTGAGAACTTACTTGTTCACCCAGGCTCTTTCTGACCTGTAATGGATTCTGTCCATGCGCAGTTATACTGTGATTCTTGTAAAGTACTGAATAATGGATTATTTTATATTGCATAACATATACATACTAATGTGAACCACTTTGGGATTTTTTATACTATCTATTATATTGATATATACTATATACTATCAATATAATATGGGATATTATATTAAATATTATAGCTAATTAAGCCCCTGGAAGAATTTCATCTGCATGCCCCATGGAACTGAATGGGAGCTGTATTCTTCTGCTCTTGTGCAACCCCTGTTTATTTCACTATAGTCTGTGTGTAAGAGATGTTCTCCGTGGATTCTGTACCCTACCTACATTTCATAGTTTTTCTTTTATTGAAATTGTAGGCGTATTTACCCACCTGATGACAAGCTACTACTTGAAAAATATGAAGGTTTGTTAGCCGCTGCCTTTCAGACCTTCCTTGCTGGGAGAGCAGCATCCCTTCAACGGGAGTTGAACAACCCTCTAAAGAAGATGAAGGTACCAATGAGTGTAACCATTAATGTACAACTTGCATTTTTCCTAACCTGTTCCAATGTGCAGTGTCAAGTGTTAATGAAAGTATTTTGTTGAAGTTTTCCATAAAATTCATCTCCCGACTACCCTAACTTCCACCTTGTGTGGTATGCTGTATCCAAAGAGTCCTGTGGAAGAAGTGTTTCTGATAGCTTGCCTCACTCTAGCAAAATAACTCACTTGCCCAAACCAGGCATTCTGTTGGCAAAGGGCTGTCTCTAGTGTGCCTTCTACTGCATCGCTACTGATTTTATACAAGTGTTCCAGAAGAATGTGACTTTGAAGGTTCTAGGAAAAAGTTGCGGCAGGCAGAAGAAATATCCCACAGCCAGCCATTTAAGGATAAAATTAATTGAAACATGCTTTTCTTTGCTTCAGGTACACTTTTTAGATGGCCCTAATACCAAACAATGTCTTGAAATTCCAGTATAGCAGAGCTGGCTGCGGCTTCCATCAATTAAATTTATGCTGCCTACAGATTTATATATTTAACATGTGTGTGGATAGGTTTGGAGGCATTAATGGTAGATAACAAAATCAGAACTATATTAGCTCAGCTAAGCTCACTAGATTCTCGCAGATCTATGCTAGTCTTACATTTTGGAAGCCAACTCCTGTTGGATGCCAATCAGAATGTTACTTTGCTAATGCAACCGTTTTTGGATGACTCTAGCTTTATCTTAATTCAGGAGGAGGACATATTGGATCTTCTGGAACAATGTGAACTGGATGATGAGAAACTAATGGGAAAAACTGTCAGGCCACGTGGACCGAAGGTATTTCATTGAAGTGGCATGTATCTGCATTTAAACATGTTGGAATTTGGGACAGGAGGGATTTGGGGATGTAGCAGGCAGAGCCATGAATGACAAGGTAAGTGGTCTTTTTTTTTTTGCACATTTTTATTAAATTTTAAAATAAAAACTAAAAAAAAATCAATCATCAAATACATTGGACGTACTGGGTCAGCCCCCTATAACATATCTTTTAAACATTCGATAATCATATTCAAATCGATTTATAAAAATTTAAAGACATCTTTAAATCTAAGTCAAGTCCCATTTCTCCAGCCACTCGTAAAAAAGCTCCCAAGTCTGATAGAAGTCAGTATCTTCTTTCTCCTTCAATAATAGAGTCAATCTGTCCATTTCTGCACAGTCCAGAATCTTTTTTAAAATCAGTTTCTCAGTGGGTAGTTCCTCTTCCAGTATTGAGCAAGAGCAATACTCGCTGCTGTGATTAAATGTAGTATCAAATACATTTCTTGTTTGCTATTATTTTCCGGTACAATACCTAACAAGAAAATTTCAGGTTTGAAAGCTAGGGGTTTTTGTAGCATTTCCTCAAGCCATTTATGTATTTTAAACCAATACTTTTTCACATATTCACAAGTCCACCACATATGGTAAAAAGTACCCACATGATGTTTACATTTCCAACATCTGTTTGACATATCTGGCAACATTTTAGCTAACCGACAAATACCATCTATAAACATTTTATATAACTTTTCTTTGGTTGTGATCCACACAATCAAAGGCTTTAGCATGGTCAATGAAACAGATTTTTTTCTGGAACTCCCTAGCTTTCTCCATGATCCAGTGTATGTTGGCAATTTGATCTCTAGTTCCTCTCCCTCTTCGAGCTTACCTTGATTCATGGATCTTCCAGGTTCCTATGGAGTATAGATCTTTACAGCATCGGACTCTCCTTTCACCACCAGATACATCAGCAACTGAGTGTCCTTTCGGCTTTGACCCAGTCGCTTCATTCTTTCTGGTGCTACTAGTACTAGCCCTCCGCTCTTCCCCAGTAGCATATTGGACACCTTCCAACCTGAGGGGCTCATCTTCCGGCGTCATATCTTTTTGCCTTTTGGTACTGTCCATGGGGTTTTCATGGCAAAGATACTGGAGTGGGTTGCCATTTCCTTCTCCAGTGGATCACGTTTTGTCAGAGCTCTCTGCTATGATCTGTCCGCTTGGGTGGCCCTGCTCGGCATAGCTCATAGCTTCATTGAGCTACGCAAGCTCCTTCACCATGACAAGGCAGTGATCCATGAAGGAGTTAATATACATAGTCATACATTTTGAAGCTGAGAAGTGTGTCACAGTATTTGAGGAAATGCAAAGTCCAATGGTTTTTCTGATTTGCACCTTTGTCTGGTGGTAGTAGAGCATAGCATGGCAGTTTACATTGAAATCTGCAAATATCAAGTCCCTCGATCATCCTTAGTTTCAACATGGGCAGGTTCTGAATGACTGGATCTCTCTTATATTTATTGCTTTGGGCTTCTTGGCTAAGTTTTGAACAGGCTACTCTGTTGGGTGGACAGAGCTTGGGAACTGGCAGAGTGACCTGGTACCTTCCTCACGCTCCTCTTCCTGCTTCTCAAAATACTTAAGAGTTGTACTGCTCTGTTCATTTGGTAGGTGGGGGCAGCTACTAATTCACTGGGATGTTTTCAGGTGAGTTTAGTCTTGATGGTAAAGCTGGGCCCTTAGACAGCGTTTACTTGGGCTTCCCTTGCTGCTCCACCAGGGTGCCACATTAACAAGAGGACTGAGGGCTCTCCAAGGGACTACAGGGCATGACCCAGGCTTCAGCTGAGAGAGCTGCACAGCAGTAAAAAGATAAATTGGTTACTTTATTTTGAGTGACCTACTTTTCATGTAGGAATGGACGCAAAACAGGCAAATAAAAACTTTAACTGCTCAGCTGGTAAAAGGATTAACAGGAAAGGCTGAGGAGGGCAGTCATCTCACAACAAATGATAGGTTCCAAGAGAATGGTTCATGCCGATGTTCTGTTTTGTGTCTGCTTTATGGAGAGAGGAAGGACAATTATCTGACCTTGTCTATTGTTCCTTTGGCTGTTTTTTTCCTCTTTCTATCTCTTGCTTTCCCTTGCATTGCATTTTGGAAGATAAATGACCCTGAGTGTATATAACATCTCAAATGCATACAGGATTACACTGAGACTTGCCAGACCACGTCCTGCGTCCATGGTTTAGAGTACTATTGTCCAACAGTGGCTTGATCCTTTAAAAAATCTTTCTGAATTGTAAATAGCTGGTACTGGAACATTATATTAATGAACAAGAAGAAGAGTTCAGTCGCTTAATATGTGCAGCTATTTCTATACCTGTGAAAACCCTTTTCCGAGATCATTGAAAGACTTGTATCACTTTTGTATCACCATATTTCTCAGCATTTAATTTGGACCTGGGCTCTCATTTGTGACTTTCCACTGGCAAAGTACTGCTGTTTCTTGCCACTTCTCCGTATCTGCTACTGTACATATGTGGCCCGTTTCACCAGTGTTTGAGATGATCATGGCTGAACTGCATCATCACTGTGTGGTCATAGTTGGAGAGCCAGCTGGGATCAGATCCATGAAAAGTTCTTACCATTTTTATTCCAAAGACTGAATCTCACAAATGGCTAGGCAAGAAAAGTTGAACAGGAAATAGTAAGATTCCATTATTTCAGGTAGGATCAACCCCACTTCATTACCCTGGAGCATGAGAAGGATTTAGCATGGGTCTGTCTTTCTGGTGAACAATAGTTGATTTCACACAACTTGATTCCATATCAGGGTCAGCCTCCACATTACTTTCCTTATTCAAAAGTAAGCATATCAACCAATGTTTTGGACAATCTAACATAAACCGCCCAGAGGTGCTGTGGCACAATTGGGTGGCATACAAATGTTCTAAATAAATAAGCCCTTGCCAACATGGTCAAAATACTGGGGGCTGCAGTTTTAAACATCTGGAGATCTACTTTTTGTCCCTCTAACAGGGAGGGAACTTAAGTAGGATCCTAATGTGGGAGTTGAGTGTTCTCTAATTTTGCCCTCATGTGGCTATAATTTGGATTGCCTCCAAATGCTTCATTTTAATGGAGGCTTTTTTGCCGGTGGAAATTGCAGATGGAGTGTCAGCTCCAAGACATGAGTAGTAGGTCTCCTCAAATGGAACACCAGAACCAGAGGTGATGGGGATGGATGGAAAACTCAGCAAGAAATAGTTAGACCAGAGGCAAAGACAAATTCAGGAGCAGGCAAAGGGCAGTGGCATGGCATGGCCACAAAGCAGTCACCACCAAGAACTGTATTGTGGCAGACCGAGGCAGGCCTGAGAAGCCTTTTGTAGAGCCTCCCATAGGTCCCAGCTGCTCTGCATGATTGCACTAGCCCCCAGCCTGCAAGAGCCAACAGACCCGATGCCAATCCTGCAAGCACTTGCAAGTTTGACCAGGCAAGTTTGACCAGGCTGCCTTCTCTCTCAGGCTGCCAGGGGGAGTGGCATTGCTCTGTAGATCCTGACAAGCAACCCACCCAGTCTGGATTAGGGTGACACCTGATGATGAACAATTAAAGTTCCCTGCCCAGCCTTCGTGCTAAGGTCTAAATCCAGGTTGGGCCCCTGCTGCTTACTTCCGAATAAGATGGAAAAAGTAGCTGCTGCCACTTTATTGTAATACGCAGATGGATTTCAGTCTTAACCCAAGTGTGACTGGACAACAAATTACCATGTCAAGGGAGAGAATTAGCCGTGTAAATTGACATTTAAACATTTCAGTATACCAGGTGCTGTAATCCACCTATTTGTTCATGTTCTTGTGTGAGAAAATGGATAAGATATTGCCAGGCAGCAGGATACATATGTGAGAGTGGAACATCAGTCACTCTGTGCCTGATCCATCTGCCATGTTTTGATGGAGCTGCTGGTGCAGTCACTCCTCTGTGAGCTGCTTTCCCACTCAGCCAGGATGGAGAAGGGCCATAGCGCAGTGACAGGGCACCCGCTTGGCATGTTAACCATTGCAAGTGGAACCTGTGGCCTCTCCTGCTAAATCACCAGGCAAATGGGTGATGGAAAAGACTCTTCCGAAAGACTGTGGAGAGTTGCTGCCAGTAGAAGAAGGCAATATGATGGCTTGGCAGCTTCCTATCCCATCTGATGGTGGTGGGAGTGTACAGTTTTTCTGTTGGCGCTATTCCCTGTAGTGTGGCAAGTGGGCAGTCATGTAGTCGCAGTCATCTCCATGAGCAAAAGAGTCATGTGATCACCAGTGCACCATGAGAGCCTGTCATGAGGAACTGGTGTTGCAGAGGAAATGGCACTGGTGATGAAGTGATCTGTCTGTAGGGAGCTCAGGCCGGAAACATTGGAAAGTTGTTGGACTGCTTCCTAGACCCTTGTACATTGGTTGCGATTTATTGGATAATTGCTTTATATCCCCCTCTCAGTTTATTAATTCATCATTTTGCTGTTTATCTTATATTTTATTATTACTGGCTGCTGTTTTTATTACTATTAATTTTATTGATAGTATTTTTTATTGGAGTGTTGATTTTATTATGTTTGATTATATGAAAGCTGGCGGTCAACAACTTTGCGAATGAACAAAGCAGCAGCAGAGCCTATGGCTAATTGGGCAGCTAAATCAATCAATCAATCAATAAAATATTTTAAAGTTAAAATGTTTGATTTTCTGGAATTATCCCCAGCTTCGCTGCTGGTTGTCCTGATGGCAAGTGTCTGCTTTGTGTTAGCTACATTTAATATCTAATGTAAATGTGTGTGTTACATAACATAACATATAATGAACTCTGATGTAATTGCATGGCAAGACAACTGTTGGCAGCAAAAGGGGGTTTCATGTAGTCCAGCCATGAAAGAAAGTCAAACAAATGTTTAATACTTCTTTTGCTAGGGTTCAAACACTCATACTTGTCCGTCCAACTCCTTAAAACAAGAGCTTGTTAAAATGACAAAGTGGGGCATGATCCTGCCAAAGATGGGCGCTTTAAAGTGCTGCTTAAGTTCTCTCTCTGTACAACTGTTGCAAATGTAGGAACCCTGCTCTTTTTTGTGTCCGGTCAGGCTACATTCAAGTTATTGCAACTTAAAAGTGCTCGGGATTGGTTTGATGATTGTCCTATTGGATGAAGTAGAAGTTCATTTGTTTTTTTAAATTAGCAACTTAATTCAATCCCGCACTTGCTACAAAACATTGAAGTTAACACAAACACATAACAATACTTAAGTGAAATTTGCCAGGATTTAGTTCTCATACAGGTTATTTATGATTTCACTCTAACATCTCTTGCAGTGATATACTGACTGTCAGTTACACCAACAGGATGAAGTAAATTACAGTGAAAGATGAAAAACAACTTTAATGCATATTTCTCTCTCTTCCTCCTGTCCTAGCCCCTGTATTCCATGCCAGAGAGTGCACAGTTCATGAAGAAAAGCAAGAACTACAGCAGCAGCAGCAGCAGCTGTGAAAGTAGCAGTGACATTTCTGAATGGGAAGAGGAAGCTGAGAAAGAAGATGAGAATGTGAAGAAAGAGAAAAATGTTTCATTTGATCTTGAAGATAGGAAATTAATTGAGCGATCCAGTAAGTTAATTAATACAAGGTTAATTTACTGAAAACATGCTTTTGTTTTCACATGAACAAGATACTTTATTAAATTGGTGTTTCTGTTTCCTGAAGCGTAAAAGAGGGCAGGTGGATAACTCCAATATCCATGACCTCCCTCATCCATTGTAGGAGCTTTTTCATGGTGCTGAACGGTACCTGCAAAGTAAACTCTCTGCCATGGAGCACCGTGGATAGAACCTGTAAAACCTATAAAATGAATAAAGAGCTTCAGTGACATAGGAGTCACAGGCCATGGATATTGGGGGCCCCTGTTTAAAATACCACTGCACTGTGAATTACTTCTAGATCTGAAAGTGAGAAGGATGTTGAGTTACTGCTAAATTGGGTCTAATTTTTAAGGGGGATTACACTTCTGCAACATGACCCCTCCCAGATACTGGGAGCTGCTACTACTACATCATCATATTTATACCCCACCTTTTTTCCTCTTGTGAAGAATCCAAGGTGGCTTACTTTCCTCCATTTTATGCTCACAGCAACCAGTCTGTAAGGGAGGTTAGGCTAAGATGGATTGACTGGCCCAAAGTTACCCAGTGAGCTTCATGGCCAAATTGGAATTAGATCCCAGATCTCCCAGGTGCCTAGTTCATCACTCTCAACATCCCACTGCCCTGGGTCTTCTACCTCAAGATATCACTCCCCAAATCCAATATACCTGAGGCAGAAGGGAGAAGGTGGCAGGAAGCATCTGGCAGTTACAGTTCTTGTTCACCTTTGTGAAAAGTAGTAGTAGAGTAGTTTACTCTCTCTTGTCTGCATGTTTATACAAAAATGCTTTTAAGTAAAAACTCAAATGATTCACATCAATAAAAAATAACAGTTACTACAGAAAGGCAGCTGGAAAACAATAAAAAGAAAGGAGACAGTAAACAGAGACATGCAGGCAGTAGCTGACCCAGAAGCCTGCCGGAATAATAAATGCTTCGGTCAACAGTAAAACACTGGTAAAGGGGCATCCAGGTGGGCCTGGTAGAGCAGAAGGTTCCCATGCTGGTGATAACTGGCACACTAACTTATTCCTGTACACAGGTGGGCAGGTCACGCAGTTGATATAACAGAGTAACATGCTCCCCCGCAAAAGCAGCACCAGTCAAACCTCTTGCTGCAATCTTTTGTGGCCACTGAACCTTCAGAGATGAGGTTCTATACAGTGTATTCTAACTATCACTAGGTATGTGTGACCATGATTGCCCTCTCTAGAGGTGGCACATTTGACATACCTGCTTGAGCTGAACAAAAGCCATTTTTCTTTCCCATTCACATTGGTGTTGAGGGGGTGAGATCATACCTTGTAGCAGCTTGGTGCTTTCAGAATTTTAGCCTATAACTCTTCATCAGCCCTAGCCAGCAAACCTGACACCACAAGTTGCCCAGCTCTGGCTTATGCCGCAAAGGCTTGAATAGCTCCTGTCCTGCTGAGGGAGCTTATACCAACCTCCACCACTCCATGTTAATTGGAATCCTTTAATACGAAGATCTAGGGGTGAATCGTATAGACTCTATAGAAAGAGTCATTCTATACGAGTCTGTGCAGATTCTGAATTACATGGAGAGATTGCTTGTCCTACCATAACAGAGCTGTCCCGGTTGTGGAAGATCTAACACAGCAATAGGAAAAACCTGAGTGCAGCCTCTTTGATGTGCTAGCTTTGCCCGGAAAGGGGTGGGAATCAAGGCTCCAGAGTCTCCATAAGGCGTTTGAAAGTTTATTCTCACTCCATTGTGTGTCTTACCAATCTTTCCCTTCTCCTATCAGTCCTTTGTGGGGGTGGGGAAGTAAAATGCTATGAGTTATGATGGAGTCAGCACCCATTTCCATTGAGGGGGACCCACATGCAGCATGAACACACACAGCATCCCCACACACATTCCCCTTCCAGGGTTGTTGCAATGTACAGGCCCACTTTCCACCACTTCTCAACATAATGGGCACTTTACAAGGTTCAAAAGCAAACGTGTACAAACCATGTTACTGCCTGATCCAAATGTTTAGAAAAAGTGCATGATACAGTTCTCATGGGGCAATACCACCTTTGAGAGTATACATGGGGCCACAAGTTTGAATATATTCTCCAATTCCAGCCTGTCTTCACATGTTGCTGAAAGCATGGGAATCCTGGAAGAAGTTGCAGTGCATAATTATGCAATGCATAATTGGAGAGAGAAGGAATGGCATCCAGTGTTAGCCTATTTAGATAGCCCCACTGAAATGAATGGGACTTAAATTAGACTGACATTGGTTCAGTCCAAAGGCTCCAAACCGAATAGGTTTATATATAGATAAGGAGGATCCTGGCATGTCCTGAACAGGTTCTGCAAGTCCAGCAATCCTTATCTAAGTGCGGATTTGCCAAAGGAGAGAGGTTTAGCCTTTTGTTGACCGTATGTATTTATTCCTCTGCAGGCAGAATGCACTGGAAGCGGCCTCTCAAAAAAGTCCCATCTTTTGCATCTGCCACACCACTGGCAGGCCCTATCAGGCGTTCTGTAAGCTGCCCTCGATCCATTTCAGGCTTGAATATACAAGCTGCTGAAAATCGCCCGTTCTCAGCCAAGCCAGTTGTACAGCTTTCTCGTCCATCTTCTGTGAGTAGGTCACACTCTTTAAACAGAGGTTCATCTACAGTCAAAATGTCTCACACTGCCAACTTGGGTACTGTGCATTCTTCTGTGGTAAGTTAGTGTTTTTACAAAATTGCTTTCAATTTTGTAAAATAAAAGAAAAAAAATAAAATAAAAATGTTCTGGTGGGGTAGCAAATTGATGCTAAATATTTGGAATCCACTGTGTGATTCCTGTATTATCCAAACCTAACATTTTTAGTTTTGCAATGAGAAATACATGGACAACTAGCTCCATTGTGTTGGGCAACGAGTTCCAGTGCTGTAGGTGAAATTAAGACTATTTATGCATCTTATTCTAGACAACAGCCTCTTTCCAAATGAGATACCCAGTTCATTTAGAAAAATTGTAATGTGCAGTGTAGCCTTCTCCTCCTAGACACCCTCTAGAAGTGTTGGATTGCAACCCATCTAATTCTGAATGGCTGTGCTGCCTAGGGATCATGGGTACTGTAGAACAATGTATCTGATGGGCACCAGGCTAGGTAGGGCTGGTGTAATCAGAAGCTAACTTGGAGCTGAGGTTTGGAGTGATTTGGGAGGAGGGGGTGCTTCCACAAGTTAATTGCTGTACATCTTTCCTGCTGTCTGCTGTGTACAATCAACCTAAGAAATATTTGGAGCTAAGAGAGCACCAGTCAATCAACTATATAGATTGCCCCTCAAAATCAAGAGGGCTGGTTTGTCTTAATTTTCACTAGGTGACTGAGGGTTCCTTATTGTGCCCTACCCCCTCCTTTGACATAATGCCAGACAAACAAGCAGACACCTCACCACTTGTGCCAGAAATGATGCGAAGACCTCCAGTTACACTTCCCAGCTGAAATGTGGGAAGTGTGACTGAAACTGGGCTGAAAGCCCAGTTATTTGGAAAATAGCAAGTGTATGTTGTTGAAATGAAAGTTACAATAGACTTGGGGCACAGTCCTACGCATGGTTCTGTAGAAAAATGGCCTACAACTCCCAGCATTCCTCAGCTAGCCATGGTTAAAAGGGAGCATGCAACTTTGTTGATGTAGAAACATCACTGATTACTAATTTGCTTACCAGTGATGATCTGAAAGTAGTCATTTTTGGTGGCCACTTCCAGGTTATGGAGCTCCTACTTGAGGGGGGCCAGGTTCTTGCCCTCTCTGGTGACCCAGCTCTGACAGGCAAAGATTGTTTCATCCAAGAAAATGTTTACCTGTAAGTGGATCTGTTGGGTTGCATGTTGTTGTTATTTTTTAACCTATAATTGTCATGCTTTTATTGTTTTTAGTCTAATGTTCCTCTTCTCGATCTATTGTTCTAATCAATTTTAATTGTGTAACCCAGAGTGCATTTTTTTGTAGAAAGTTGTGGTACAAATGAAATCAATCAAATAAATAAATGCTGGGGGTTGTAAGGCTTTTTTCTGTCTTTTGGTTTCTAACACTAAATGTTTTAAACTGTCTTCTATTTTTTATATTGGAATTTTGAGCTGTTTTAAATTTGCATGCTGGAACTTTATACTGTGTTTTATTGCATTTCTATTTCTGTTGTCTCTTTTGTATTTGATTAATTGTTGTGAACCACTCAGAGAGCTTCATCTGTTGGGTGGTATAGAAATAAAATGAAAGGAATGAATAGATAAATAAAAATGCCCAGGATTTTAGCTTTAAGGCACCTTCCTGTGCAAGCTTAGAGCAAGGTCCAGCTGGCTGGGGCATGCCAGGAGTTGTGTGCCTCTTTTCTGTTCAAACTTGCACCGTTGCACCGTTAGTGAACTGTTGCTTGATTCTATACCAGTTCCACAAATCAATAGAAACCGAGGTGATGATCCTAAGCTTGGAAGTAAATTTTAGTGGAATCAGCATGACCTAATGAGACTTCTGGACTTGCTAACCTAGGAAAATATATGGAAACCAACAAAGCAGATGTTATTGTTAAAGTAATGTATCTGGCATCATTTCAAGGCAGGATTACTATTTAGTGTCACAAGTGATGTTACTAAAGTCTATAATTATGTATTGGTTTATCACAATTCCTTGTTCCAGCATATGTCAGTATCAATAATCTCAGGTGCATCATATACTTTAGAAAGTTATCACTTCCCCTTTAATTTAGAATGCAATTCCATAGCCAGTTACCCAGAAGTGAGACCCACTGAACTCGGTGGGACTTCATTCTGCATTGACATGAACAGAATTACACTGTTACTGTAACAAAAGCCCCTTTTAATGTCTTAGAAGAAAAGCATAGATGGCCTTATTATGAACATTACTATTCATTAGTTAATCCACTCTAAGATACTTTTCTTTGTCTGAAACTTCTTTGTTGTTCTTTTGACATGTTTGTGTTCATTAAGCCAAGCTTGCCATAGGCCAGTGCTAGGAGAATCTAGCTTGCTTAGATGGGACTTCTCTACTGGATCATGAACATTCTAAATATTTCTACTTATATTTCTTCTACCCTCTTGGTTCTTACAAGGAAAGCATTAGAAAGGAAAACATCCATTAACTTTACATCCCATATCAATCCCATATCAATATCAAAGTGTCCCTCAGCTAGCTAATACCAGTTGTTCTGTCTTGACAGACTGAACTGCAACAGAGAACAAAAGAGCAAGAGGAGTCTTTAACAAAGGAGACGCTAGTAATTTTCAGTGATATGAAGATCCGATTCCCAGGGAAAACGAATGAAGAAGCAGAATTAATAATTGAAGATGTAAGTACTGGAGCAAAGAAATCAACCATGGGATTATTTAGTTGCAAGTGAGGCAGTGGTGGTGCCCAGGTACAGTGGTACCTTGGCTCATGAACTTAATCTGTTCTACGACTCTGGTCGCAATCCAAATTGATCGTGACCCAAGTCAAATTTCCCCATAAAGTTCAGTGTAAATAATGTTAATCCGTTCTGTAACAATTTTTTCATCACAAAAACTTGAAACAAAGTGACAAAGAACAACAAAGAAACAAAGAACAACAAAGATCGCGGCCATCTCCCCCCTCCCCCGAGCATGACCGCAATTGCGCTCATGCAGGAAGATGGGCATGATCGGGATCATCACCTGATGCGGAGTTCATGACCTGAGGCGTTTGTGAGCTGAGGTACCATTAAATAGGCAATGATGAAGAATTCAACCCACTAGGAAGACTTTGACACACCTCACTGCTCATAAAGCAGACTGTAATTTTCATAAGGCAGGGAAATCTGTGCAAAATATGGACATAGTTTGTGCAAAATATTGACAAAATTGATTGTGCAAATTGTGGTTGTATTTCATGTAAATTGTGACTGTGTTTTCTACTGATTTTTCTTCTTTAACCCCCACCCCAGCAAATCTCAGCTGGCTTTCAGAGTAGAACACCATGCCCTGTTCACACTTGTGTTGATGGGCTACAATCTGGAAAGGGCAAAGCCAGGCCAATTTGCTGGATTTTTGACCCTTTCAGCAGATTCCTCACACATCAGTAGTAATAACTTTCAGGATTAAGGGTCCACTTTCTCTTGCTTGGCACTCTGTATAATGTTGTCTCACAATCATCACTAAATAGCCTCACAGAAGAAATGGTCAGATGAATGAGGAACTTGATATATTTATTTTTCATCTAAAGCATGAAATGGCTGTGCACACACACTTCATGGATTAGGATTACATGTTCTTGCCAGCCATTCCACTTAAGCAGCTGTGCTATCCTGTTCTGTATTAGTTGTAATGTCCAGACTGTTTTCAAAGGTAGCCCCACATAGGGTACATTACAATAATCCAGGTAGGAGGTTACCAGTGCGTGGATCTCTGTAGGACGTCTCCACTGATCCAAGTAGGAACATAGCTGAGAGATCAGCTGAAGCTGAAGAAAGGTGCTCCTGGCCACCAAGCCCACCTGGGAGACCAGCTCGGGGTTCAGGAGCACTCCTAAGCTACAAACCTTATCCTTTAGGGTAGGTTAAAAATGTCCTAGTTCGAGTGCAGGAGTGCCCTCCAACAACCCCTCTGTCTTGTCTGGATTCAGCTTTAGTTTATTGACCCCCATCCAGCCCATTACTGAGTTCAGGCACCAGTCCAGGACAGCTACCACCTCACCTGGGTCTGATGAAAAGGCGAGGTAGAGCTGGGTGCCACTGGCATATTGGTGACACCTCAGTCCACTCGTTCAGCTGGCCTCACCCAACAGTTGCAGGTAGATGTTAAAAAGTATGGGGACAAAACATTGTTTAAATTTCCTAGCTTATTGCTAATACACTATACTGTATCTATCTTGTTGTATGATTTCTTTACAAATGATGCCATTTTAATATATGATATTTCATATTTGATGCAGATTATGGATAATTGGAAATACCATAAGTCAAAAGTGGCCTCATATTGGTTAATAAAACTCGACTCTGTAAAACAGCGAAAGGTGAGCAGTATGTTCTTCTCTCACAGTGCATAAGCTGTTAGAAACAACACTGTTATAAGTCCTAGTTACATGTGTCATTAACCTGGTTCTATCCTACCTGAGATGAACTCTTTCATTCAGTAGATTCTCAGTATCCCTGAAGGCAGGATGTACTGTGAGGCAGGATGCACTGTGCCCATTTGAAAGGTGCATTCCCAAAACCATAGGCTCAGTTGAGATATGACAGGGAGCCACAAGAATGAGCTGCAGGCTCATCACTTTCCCTCTTCCCTTCTTTTGCTTTCTGTTTTACATTAACCACAACTCCTCTTGGTATCTAAACTTGGGGAACTCTGGCTTGTTTAAACTCCAGTTGGTGAACAGATCAGAATCGGACACCACAATGTTTCCTGGTTTGTTCTCACTAACGAAAATCCAAAAAACAGCAACACAGTTTTGGACATTGTGGGCAGCTGTGGTTGCTTCAGATTGTTAAACTTTCAGTCATTTTCTAATGAGCATGAAACAGAAGGAGAGGAGGAACGCAGGAATGCAAGTCTCACCATGACTTGTTTCATTGGGGGAGCACTGTGGTTTCCTCTTATGTGAACTAAGTGATCTTTGCCAGTTTTTCATAGACAAATGCACCCCATCACATGCCAATCATAAGCTGCATGTGATTGCTGGGACTAGATCTGGTGTTTTGTGAAGTATATAACAGAAAGAATAAGTAGCAAATGAATCCCTAGTTCATCTCCCATCCTGAAAATGCCAGTTTTCATCTGTAACAAAAATAAATTATTCCTTTTTCTCTCTCTAGCCTTCATGGTTCTGTTAATCAGTTGAAAACTGATTGTATTTTAAGTGTTTGGAATGGGGAAGCAGATTAAAAAAACTGATTAAGCATTCAGATCTCTGTTTCTAAGCTCATTGCAATATTGTTGACCTGGACTGGTAAAGATATATGCATTCTGTGTTTAAAGCTTTTCTAGAAAATAATACTCACTTTTTATGAGAGTGTGAAAGGGTTAACTAGGGGAGTGATATGTGTGAAACAAAGAACATTTTGTAAAAAACAACTCTTAAAGCAAGGTTGCATAACAAGTTTTGCATAACAAAACTTAGAGCAGGCCTCCTAAAGTTAAACACCTTATTTCTCCTACTGAATTTTGTCTGGCCACATTTCATCCTCTTGGCACTGCCTTTTTGCAGGCCTGTCAGGATCAAGCCAGAAAATATTCAAAGTGAGCTATGGTCCAGTGGTCAATCCTAATCACGGTCAGCAATGCACATGGCACTTTACACAACAATATAAGCAAATGATAGTTCCTTTGCTCCAGGGAATTGCAGTCTGAATGTATGTAGGCATGGATCGTTGTCCTTAAACCTAGGATGTTGAGAAGTCACAGTATTTCAGTGATCATGCAGTTTCTCCATTGCTCTGTGGTCCCTCAGAATTCTCTTTTCACACCAGTTCCTGTCCACTGATGTTCTTAAAATCACCCCAGTCTGTCTTGATCTCATAAGTTATTAAAAAACAACCCCTTCCCTGCAAGTCCACCTGCTTTCTTCCATTGACAAATGTGAATGGTACTCTGGACACACAGAACAGGTCAAGATGAAATACTAGATCATCAGAAAGAAACGTGGCACTTCTGCAAATGTGCTTGTCTTGTTCAGCTGATGACTTGAGTGGGCAACATTACCTGCAGCTCCGGGGTTCTTTTTCCGGCAGCAGCTGCTGACTGGAGGCTTCGTTCTGTGTTTAATCATAACCTCTCTGAGCAGTCAGGATCGTTTTGGCTTATGTGTTAGAACTAACATTGTACCCTTGGGCTTTCCAAAAGTGATCCATCAGTACTAGGCTCAACCTGATCTGAACTCCAGTATTTTGTAGGCCAGCAGAGGCCAAAATGGTACTTCCAAAGGAAAATGAAAGAGCAGGTGGCAGTAACAAATATACCTGAAAGCATTTTTAAAGGTTTGGGTTAAGGACCATGCCAAAAATTGCATGAAACATGAATGCAGAATCTTCAGCCATGCCATGGAGCTTTCTTGGCTTCCACCGAGGGCAGGGTGGGGCTTGTCTCCAAGCAGTGCCCTTCAGAGGAATCCCTGAAGTTCTGAAGAGATGTGGGCAGCTGGGGATTCGGTTGGCACCAAGAGGAGCAGCCTCTCTTCCTAGACCTGGCTAAGTGGCTTTGCATGATGTGCACCAGCTAAGGATTCAGCTGACACCAGACGGGCTGCTCATCCCAGTGCTGGCAGAGTCATTTCATTCACGATGAGAGAGGTCCTGGGGTAAGGCATTGACATCAGCAGGAGGAAGCACACACACCAACCTCAAACATCCTTTGGAGGGCTCAAAGGAGCAAAGTTTGGCTCCCTACCTGAATCAGTTCTGTGCCCCTCTCATAAAATATAAAACACAGACAAGCTCCATCACTTGGTGGTATCAATATCGTAACTAAAGGGAATGTTCATTTGAATGTATTGAAAATGCTTGGATAAAAGGTAGTGGCATTTGACTAGCTGGGAGCTATACAAGGGACATATTGCAATCTAGAATAACTAGAGGATGATTCTCTTACGGTCTTTAGGCTAGGATGCACAAGTGGTAGTTGTGGCTGCAAGCCTTGGGACCTTTATACCCTCTTTCACTTACCTTTAATATGAGCTACAGCTTAATCCTGTAAAGGAGTGTGCAAGTAGACACAATCATCTCTCAATCTGTCTCTTGTGAAACTGTAGACAGATTATATCTGGAAGGTGTTCTTCTGTAGGCCCATACTCGATGCATGGGGGCTGTTCTTCATGAGTGAGTACATAAAGATGTCTGAGAACTTTTCCTTTGTGTCTTTGCTGCCTGATTGTGGGTATTAGCTTGGCTAGAATCTGCAATTTGCAGCAAAATGGGACTTTAAAAAAATCTGTCAGGTAATTAGACTGATAAAAAACTCATGTGTCTTATGTACAATTGTTCTTCCATGGTTGAAGCAAAATACATGTTGTCTTTGTCGCCTATGAGAGAAGAGAGAAATCACAGTGCTAAATATGATAACAAAGATGGTGAAACGTTTTTATCTTTATAAACCTAAATTCTAAAGTATTCTGAATCACGTTACCAATGATGTCTGTGTACCCTTAATCAATGCAAGGAGTTAAGCAATATTTATTTGCAGCTCCTTTTTTGCTGTATGTGCCTTCCTAAATAAGCTATTCTTGAAATCAGTATTTAGTTTAATTCATCCATAATTAGCCTTAAAGCCACAAAATAGTCCTCACAATCATCTTATGCTTACAGTTTCACATTCTGATGTTGAGTGGAAGCTGTTGATCTAGCAATTAGCCTATGAACCGCTAACCCTCATTTACAGAAGATTGGAATTGATAAGTTAATTGCAGCAAGAAGAGTCAGTGACTTGTAGTCAACACTGAAATGAATTTGAATAAAGTAGTTTCGCTGTCCTAAGGCAGAGAGAGTTGGTTTCATGTGAATAGTTTTAATTTGTCTTCCAAGGCTCTGTATGTATCCAGAGGGCTGGTTTCTATGTGGAAGTAGCTGCACATTGCTTTAAAGCATCTGCCTCATGTCACTTAGTCATAGAAATCAGCCCTCAAGATATTACTGTAACTGAGTTGTAAATAACACAGCATGCACAAGGAAGGTAGAAATACTTTGCATGTCAGGGTTATGAATTTCTTTAAATACAAATCATATTTGTGGAAAAAGGCCCCAAACAGGTGGCTTCAGTTGTAATTTAAAACGTTCATCCTGAATGTTAGGATAACTGGCTCATGTACTCTTGCAGTAGTAGTAGCTAGTATTCATTTCATTCTAGATTGCCCCACAGCCGAAGTTCTCTGGGCAGTTTACAGCAGTCCATAATTACAGACAATAAAAATACCATAAATGAAAAGTTTAAAATTGCTAAGAGCAGATGATAAAAACAGACAATAGCAAAAGAATGACTCTGTGAAACACCTGGAGATCCTCTTTAAGCCCTTGAGTGGCCAAACAGGTCTTTAAAGGCTGCAGAGAAGAAAGCTGTCTTAACCGGGTGCTGAAATGATAAAAGATTCAATGCCAGCTGGGCTGCAGTGTGGAGGCTGATCCATAAGTGAGGACCACCGCAGAGAAAGCCCTCCCTCTCGTAGCCACTCACCAAGCGTCCCTTGACGCTAGAACTTGGAGGAAGACCACAGCGTGTTGTCTGGGTAGATCATGGGTAAGAGAGGCACTTAGACAGGTATAGCAGTCCTGTTATAGGTTAAAACCAGACTCTTGAATTGAGGCTGGAATGAAATGCATTTTTACGCTGATTCAAATCCCCTGGGAAATATTGGCTGAATTCAGACAACATGGCAAGCAACCGTCAATGGTTACCATGGTTTGCGGTTTTTTTACCATGATCTACCTGACAGATCATCAGGTGGCTTCTACTGTATCATGTTTTCCATCACCACTACTCAGCCCACCTACAGTTGATATTTACCCATCTGTCTGTCTGTCTGTCTGTCTGTCTGTCTGTCTGTCTATACATATTTATAGGCTGCCTGTAACTGCCAAGGCCTTCTTTGGCAGCTTACAATACACTAAACATATTAACACATAATAAAACACATTAAAAACCTATTAAAACACTAACAAATTGAAACCTTTATAATAATAGTATTAAAAAGGGCCACTGCATTCAGGGGCTTATATCCTATAAGCCATTGTGCCTGGAATTCAGTCCCAAGGTGCATCACTGTCTACCTATGTCAACTGACTTTTCCTCATTGGTCCACACATAGAGGCTGCATGGCTAGAGTAGTTCCTGCAGTGTCCACTCTTTCCAGAGGACTCTGTGGTAGTTTTATACCAGGACTATGAGAACCACATTCCTGGGTTTTGACAATATGACAGATCATAGTGGTACAGAGAAACTATAGAACAAGCCATTGTTTTTTATCATAGTTTCTAAAAACCAGGCTCAATAGGGAGAAATGGCACAACTGGACTTGGACAACATGACAGACTAACAATGGTAAAAAAAATCTACCATGCCTGTAATGCTTTTCATGACATCACAGAGTTCTAGATAATCTGTGCTGTACCTATCTGGTTTCAGCTGCAAGCAGGAAGAATAGAGTCCCTCTGGTCCCGGTATCAGGACCAGGGCCTGGCTAACCCTGCAAGTGAGTGCAGCACAAGGAACACCTCTGCAGGAGCTTGCAGGGAACTGCAGAAAGGCAATTATGCAGTGTGGCGGGAGGCCCTGGAGACCACCATAAAAGGTCTCTCTGCACACAAGCTGTCTCTGACTCTCTTGCGCTCCTCCACTGCTTCTGTGTGTTCCTGCTCGCTCCAGTCTGCCCCTGCCCCTGTTTCCAGCTGACTCTGCCTCCCCAGGTGCCTGTGCCCTTCTGCCCTAGCCTCATGTACTACCAAATGTGACCCCCTCCCAATACTTGACTTTTTGTGGACTGTGCTACTTTTCTGTGTGTTGCTGGACTGTGTGTTTCCCCCTGGCGGTGACCTCAGACTCTCACCCTGTTCTTGTTTCTGAAACCCAATTAGCCCCAGGGCCCTGGTCCCAGCGTTCTGCCCATCCATGCCTACTGCCCACAACATGGACCTTACACCCAGTCTTTAAGAGAAAATGATAAATTTCAGCAGGACATAGGAAGGAAGCTCACAGCTGCTCACTGTAGTGCGGGTGACTATTATACAGAAAATTCTGGGGCAAACTTCAGAGAAAATGTGTTCAAACACAGTTGAAATCTGTGTATTTTTATTCCGTATTTATTCCATAATTATTTAATTATATCTTTTAAAAAGGGGTGAGAATAAATATTCATGTTCCTAGTAAAAATTTTGCCTGATATCATTTGATTGTAAAATGTTTTTCATTTTAGGTATTTAGTAGAACATGTACCAACATGCCAAATTTTAAAACCAGCCTTACTGTCTCTTCCTCAATGCTTATTGACACTGTTTTTAAAGGGTTTTTTTAAAAAAATATAGCCCTAATTTGTTTTTCCTTTTGCCTAATGTAATACTTTCCTAGGTTTTAGACATTGTGAAAGCAAGCATTCGTTCCGTTCTGCAGCGTATCTGGAGAGTTTCAGATGTTGAATGTTTACATTTGTACCGACTTTTTAACCGTGTGTTTAATCGCCTGCTGTGGAGCCATGGCCAGGGGCTGTGGAACTGTTTCTGCAATTCAGGGTAAGAGGTGTACATGTATCTAGAGACTCTTGTGGTTTTCCTCAACTAAAAATGCCGTCCTTTATTTCTGTCACTACTGTAGGTTTGTTTTTCTCCTATTTAGTACTGGTTTTACTGATCTAAGGTTCCTCAGGATATTTTTCTCCACGCTCCTGGCAGCAGGAAGATGATGGCTTTGATAAGGTTGGTCATACTTGAATATATAAGGATCCTCCTTCTCTTTGACAGAAATTTAGAATCGAAATCAGAAAGACTGGCATATTATGTTTCTTTGCTGCCATATATTTGCAACCTAATGGAGTTGCCTTGGAAGGATCCTCTGTTCACAGCATAAATGCAATATGTAACTTAAACTCAACAGTGTTTGCACAAGTGATGCTAATAATGTGTTTGCATCTGTCTTTTCTGAATTTTTAAAATGTGTTTGTGTATGTGTGAGAGAGACAGAACAAGAAAGAAAGTTTATGTAAGAGCCATTTTTCTTTCAACATTAAATGGTAATCCTGATCACTGTTACTTTCCGATGTAATATACAGATGCAGAAAATAACACTTTTCTGGGCAACATCTGAGATAATATCCTTAAATTTGCTTATGCATCTGGATCTGCCATGGTGCTTAAAGTAATCAGATGTTGACACTTTGTGGTTGGATGAATGATTTTTAAGGAGCTGGACTTCAAGCAAAGCAAGAATTTCAGTCACTTTGTCTCTCTCATTCTTTCTTTCTTTCTCTAAATTTCTTCAGTCTTTTAACAAACACCAAAGAGATTTTGCTGCTCTGCTGATGCAGTATTTAAAACAATATTTCATTAGAAAGAAGGATACTGAATTGTTATATTTTTAATGACAGTAGCTGCTCCTGTAGTTTGATCTGCAGAATGTAGTGCTGTAATGCAAATAGTTTTGGAAGGTGTACAAAGCAATAGTTTTGGAAGGTGCATACTGGAGAAAGGAGCAAATCTCCACAATTCTTAAGCCCAGGGTGGCGGGGGGAACGTTTTTGAACCATGAGAAAGTGATCAGCCAAAATCTGACAATAATTAAAGATCTTTCATAAAAGTGCCCACTGCAATTCCTTGCCACCTAGCACCTTGCTTCTAGTACAGCTAGTCCAGGTTTCTGAACTACAAGTCAGAAGATATTATTAACTGATAGACAACAATCTCCCTAACATAAGAATTAATGTTTATTGGTACTCCTTTTTGGATGTTGCTTTTACTTTGTATGTATAGTGTATATACTTTCTGTATAGTTGTGTAAGTGACTTAAATGTATGTTTAAATAAACACAAGACAGAGGAGTAGAAAATTGGATACCCTTTCTTCGCTATATTAAGAAACATCTTTATCCTTTATCTGTAGACTATGCACTTCTAGCCCACTACAATTTGAGGGCTTCTCTATATGAGAGGTTTAATCCTCTACTGAAGCTTTTTTCCGTTCATTGCAGGAGGAGAAATACATCCTTTACTTGTTTTCCCCCCTGGTATTTATATTTTTCTGACTCTCTGTATATTCTATTATTTAACTACAAAACAGTGCTGTGGCATAGTTGCAATATAGTGGATTTGTGACTTTTCACAAGGCTTTTTGCCACTTTAATAGCTGATGTTCCTCACTCTAAAAAAAGTGTGAAGTGTAGGAGAGGCCCTGGAAGATGACAGCATCATGGAAAAAGCCCACAAACACCCATGACTGAAGTATCATGAGCACAGAATAAATGCCTCACACAGGGAATTTTGCTAGAAGCCCTGACTATTCTTTCTTTCCAGAAATCATATGAAATGAAAGCGAACCCCAGAGCACCATCTGCAAATTGTTATTCGCCCCCCTGCTCCCCCAGCACTTCAAAGTTTTAGAGAGAGCTGCAGTGGAAGGGAATTGACTGTTCTTAGGCTAAATGAGCTGGGATAATCATAAGGCTTTTGTCCGCTGATGCAGCCCCTTCTTCTATCTGTTGCTATAACACAGCAATTAAACTAAGATGCCTCCAGTTAACCATAGTTTTGTGCAAACCGGGAAGGTGTGGTTAATTCAGTTTGGTTAAATCAATTTTGAATATAATCCTAGCTTGTTTCATGCCTCATAACCACAATTTTTTTGTTCAGACAAAATAGGGAACTATGAAAAAAGGGTTTAACTGCAGTGTGTAGGGAAGGGGAAAGGAGAAGGACTGCATGGACAGGCAAAAGACTAGGTTATCAGACAGAGGTAGGATTGCCTGTCTGAAGTGGGTTACTGTATATAGTATGTGATGTTTGTTGCTTTATGCTACAACAGCTTTGAATATGGGAACAAGAGTGCATTACCTTGCAAGAGATGGTCGGTCAGCACCATCCCAAACATGCCCTGAAACAGAGGGAAGTTGGTGAAGTTCGGACTAGATTCAAAGTTTGGACTAATTTCAGAGGAATCCACAAAATTCCTCTGCCTGTTTAAAATCTGTTTGGAATGTAGAAGACAGTTCTACAGACCAAAAACAAAAAACAGTGCAGGCTAATTCAGAAAGTGCTATTGAACGCCAATGATTCAATGGCTATCAGTAGAGCTTGTGTGAGTAGGACTGAATTAGAAAGTGGCAGATCCATTAAAATTTCTTATTTGTGAATAGGGCTGACCAAAAATACAAAAAACTCCCTTAGTTTAGTTTTGGTTTGGTTGTTGTCTTATTATTTAGAATTTGTATAAAAAAAAATCTTGAGATCTGTCTTTGGATGATGGTACAGTTTAAAAATGTTTCAGATAAACAAATTCCTCTATGTCCAATGGGAATTACTCTCTGATAAATGTGTTTAAGCATTCAGCCAAAGTAGATATATACTTTGTCTCAGTACATTGGAATTCTGTTGGTGAGAATAGAACGCAAATTTCAGAACCTCACTTAAGCAAACCTATGTTGATTTACTGCTCAGTCTACACTTACGATTTGTATCTAGTGTTCTCTTTTACTAAGTGAAGGTTATCCTGTGAAATGTATGTTGGATGTTCTCCTTAGGGACAAACTCAGCAACAGTGATCCATGCCAGATACATTGCATTCATCTTCTAGTAAAATGTTTTTGTTTTGTTTCCCTCACAACTAATCAAAATGAATAGCTATTCAAATGAAGTTCTGCATTCTGGTAACACTTTAAGTGTGCACAATGATTTGAAACTCCATCAGAGACTTTAGAAGGTTGCGTTGAACTTTGGTCAATGTCTTGCATTGTATTGTATTAAACACTATTTGAAAGGATAAGAATGAGGCATTTCTCCGCTAAAACTAAACAGTTCAGTCATAGAAACTTTAAGGCACTCTCTGAACAACTAGCTCATGGAGTTTTTCAAAAGTGGAGGTTAACCTATTAATTTGTATTTTAGATTTCCCACAATCTGGTGAAATAGGGTGGGCTCTTTACTGAAAATGGGCAAGGTCATGCATTATTTCTCTTCCTTCATGGCTAAATCTCTTGTGTAGAGTGGTAAAGCTTTTAGATTGCTGTTTGTGACAGAATACATGAGGTCATGTCTGTTTCCATGCCAACAGGAGCTCATGGGAGACCATATTCAGTAAAAGCACAGAAGCGGTGACTGCGGATCAACTCCAGTGTTGCCAACGAATAGTTGAGCTTTGTAAACAGTGCCTGCTAGTGGTTTACAAATACTCTTCTGATTCTAGAGGGTCCCTCACTGGAACAAACCCAGACTGGGATGACTCAAGGTATATGCTATATTGATTTTGAATTCCTGTCGCCTAGCACTAAGAGCAATGCAAGATTGTAAGGATTTGACTATGCTACTATGCTTTTATTTTATTTATTTTATTTTTGGCAATATAAAGTTGTGAAACTTACTAACTTAAAAAAAAAAAATCTGCACCCCATGGTGTGTAGAGCTGTAGCTTCTGCCATTTTGAGTTGCTGTAAGCCAGTGTCAATAGACAGCTGTCCCCTTTCATTTCAATTAAGACAGAACCCAGAGACATCTTGTAGAAACAGTTGACTGAAATTTTATTCAGTCAGCAAGGGAAAGTGGACTTTTTGGTTGGTTAAAGCACTGAAAACTCCCATCCTCGCCTCTTAATTTCTTCTGCCAGGACTGTTGTCTTAGATGGAGCTTTTTGATCACTGGGTTAACTTGTGGATGTCTGTGCTAAGGTCATGATCAGTAAGAGATGCAAAATTGCCAATATTCTACCATATGGAAAATCTGGTAAGTGGAAAAAAAAAGATTGTTTCTCAAAGATTTTGGACCTTGCAAAATGGAATAATACAACATCATTAGCCTTGCCTGATTCTTTATAAATCATCTCAGTTCCTTAGAGCTTTTTCGGACCTTTCAGTGATTGCCAGGACAAGCAGAAGGAAAATTACTATTTCCACATGAAAAATTGCTCCTTCCATATTGTAGCTAATTTATAGATAGCTTCTAGCCACCAGGGTTGAGGAGCCTGTGATATTCCAGATCTCGCTCAACTACAATTCCCATCATCTATGACCACTGATCATGCTGGTTGGGGCTGAATATCTAGAAAGCCACAGATGTTTACTTGAAATTATTTAATCTGGACTTAGACTTACTCCTTGTAGATAGATCTGTCCATGGCTACCTAGTCACCTTAGCTCAAAGTTCAGTAGAAATTTGCTTTAAGCATCTGGAACATTGGTCTGATCCAGTGGAGCTCTTACATTCTTAGATTTTTGCATTTTTTTCAGAAGCAGCAACATATGGGTAGAAATTGGTTCCTTAGAAAAGTTTATCCTCACATAAATCACTGTCTGTTTGAATATCACAGAAATGCTACCATTGAGATGGCGCATACTTTAATTGTTCCTTAGCCAAGTTTAGAAGAATGATACCACTCAGAAGCTGCTTTGCTCCAGTGATAGCTCTGAAGAAGTATTGTTCTGTCTGGGAATATGATGCTATGTGTCCCAGACGGCCATCCTACAACTTCCAGAGCTAGGTGTGGTGTCTTTTTCATCAGCAACCAGAGGCCAAAACCATAGAGCCTCCTGGCAAGAGTGGACCAGTGCCGCTGTTGCCAGGCTGCTAACCAGAGAGCACTATTGTCAGCTGCCATTTGGTACAGTTGTCAGAGGTGCCCATGCTCTCCTGCCTCCTTCCCTAAAGATCTTTGTGGCAGGAAGGAGCAATCTGGTTGACACTTGTGGAGAGCAACACTGCTTCATTGATTCCCCCACTGCCACAGCGGGAAGCAGCTGGGTGGTGGTGCTCAGTTGTCGGAGCTGCACACCACAGTCGCTTGCTTCATGCTGCTCCTCCCACATGAGTGGCAGGGTGAGAAGTAGCTGAGTGGTGATGGCTGTGCTTGTTGGAGGCCACATGGGGCAAAAGCAGGCTCCAGGTTGGAGAAGCCTCTCCGGCAAGCCAGAGCAAGGAAGAGGGGACCACTGCCACCTCCCCTTCGTTGCTGCTGTCCAGCTGCTTCTTGCCCCTGCCACTGGCCTGTGGGCTTGCATGAAGCTCTTCACTTTGGCAAGTGCAAAGCGGCAGAGGGGGAATCAATTCAGCAGGGCTGCTCCTTAGAGGAAAAATGGCAAGAAGTGAATGTAACAATAAACAAATTAGCCTTGTTGCTGCACCACCCCTGGATGCCACTCATCCCATCTGGAGGTAAAATAAATTAAGGCATGCAAAATATGTCATATAGTACAGGAACAAAGAGGTGCAAACATGTAGAGTGTACAAGGCCCTCTATTTAGAGTTCACGCTTAGGCATGTTTATTTATTTATTTAAAACATTTTTATGCCGCCCCCATCGCAACAAAGCCTCGGGGCAGCTCACAACAAAGAAAAAATACATAAATATAACAATTATACAAGTAAAAATATTAAAACCCGGTGCATCTCGGCTTAAAAGATTTAAAATCCTATAAATACAAATAAATTAACAATTAAAATGAGTTTTACATAAAAAGGTCTTAGCCTGGTGCCGAAAAACAAATAACGACGGCGCCAGGCGGACCTCTCTGGGGAGCGCATTCCATAGATGGGGCGCCACCGCAGAGAAAGCCCTCCTCCAGGTATTCACCCTCCTAATAACATTCACAGAGGGTTCCCGGAGAAGGGCATCTGTTGCTGATCTCAAGGGGTGGGAGGGCATATATGGATGCAAGCATTCCTTTAGATACCCAGGTCCCAAGCCGTTGAGGGCTTTATAGGTCATAACCAACACCTTGAATTGGGCCCAGAGTTCAATTGGGAGCCAGTGGAGCTGACAGAGAACTGGGGTTATATGAGAACAACGCCTAGTCCCCGTCAGCAGCCTGGCAGCTCTATTCTGCACCAACTGAAGTATCTGGACTGTCTTCAAGGGTAGCCCCACGTAGAGCGCGTTACAGAAATCTAATCGGGAAGTTACCAACGCGTGTGTCACTGTCGCCAGGCGGTCATTCTCCAGGAAGGGACGCAGCTGATGGATCAGCCGAAGCTGAAGGAAGGCGCTCCTCGCCACCGCTGTCACCTGAGCTTCTAGAGACAGCTCAGGGTCGAGAAGCACTCCTAAGCTGCGAACCCTGTCCCTTAGAGGGAGTGCAACCCCATTTAGGACAAGGCCCAAGTCCCCCATCCCGACACCCAAACCACCCACCAACAGGACCTCCATCTTGTCTGGATTGAGCTTCAGTTTATTGGCCCTCATCCAGCCCATTACCTCGGCCAGGCACCGGTTCAGCACAGCCACTGCCTCACCTGGATTGGTGGAAAATGAGAGGTAGAGCTGGGTATCATCAGCGTACTGATGATTCCGCAGCCCACACCTCCAGATGACCTCTCCCAGTGGTTTCATGTAGATGTTGAATAGCAAGGGGGACAAAATGGACCCCTGTGGAACTCCATGGCATAACTGCCCCCAGCACCACCTTCTGAAATCGGCCGTTGAGATAGGAGTGGAACCACCGCCACACGGTGCCTCCAACTCCCAATCCCGCTAGCCTATTCAGAAGGATACCATGGTTGATGGTATCGAAAGCTGCTGAGAGGTCTAGGAGAACTAACAGGGACGCTCTAGGAGAACTAACATCCTGGGAGTCTTCAACACCAGGTCCGAGACAGTCTCCGTGAGCTCAGGCAGGGAGTCTGTTGGGCAGAAGGGTGTGCGGTACACCAACAGAATTCCCAGTCTGAATTCCCAGAATTCCCACAAGGGAAATAGAAGCTCAATAAACCAGAGTGACCCCCCCTCCCCTCCCCTCCCCTCCAGGTGTGGTCGGTGCTGGACCAGGTACCCAGGTGGGCACAGTTGTGAGAGGGCGACATCCTCCCTCTCACCCGCCCAGGTTTCTGTGATGCAAGCCAGGTCGGCCCTCTCATCCATGATCGAATCATGGATGAGTGTTGCCTTATTTTGGACCGACCTGGCATTAAGCAGCAGCACCGACAGGCCCAGGGGGCAGTTGACAAGTCTACCTGGAACCTGCCGGCTGGGGGAATAACCAGAAAGAGGGACAGGTGTTAACCATCTGGCCCTCCTTCTTCTATGCAGACCTGTTAGACCCCCCAACGCCATAACATCCATTGCCCATTACCACCCCAATGGCGGCGCCCACGCGTTCCCAAGGCGACATCATAGTAAACAATGAGATGCACCAATTAAAAGCAACCTAAAACCGACAATTAAAACTACTAAAAACATCCTACTTTAATCCACTGCTAGCCCACAGATGAAACCAAAGCCACAACCAAAGCCCCCGGCCAGCCCAGTCCCAGTTTAGGCAGAAGACGTCCTGCAAAGCTCAGCATTCCCTAGTTGGCATGACTGAATGGGTTGTGCTGTGAGCTGTAAGACTTATCCCCGCCTAAACATGCCTAAGAGTACACTTGTAGTGGTAAATTAGCATAATTTTAGTCAGATTTGCACCATTGTTCATCAAATAATCCCCCCTCCCCGATTTAAATCAACTCAGCCCAACTTGAAAGTCAGAAGGTTTTGTGAAAGTTCACACTGCCCTTTACTCGGTATAATTTTAAGTCAGATTCATTGCTGTCCATCAATCTGTGCTGGTAGAAACTGAAGCTTCATGTGGGCACAGGGTAAATGGGGGCTTGTTGTCTCTTTGAATGCCCTTCCTGATGTGTGCAAATCTGCAGATATCTCTTGCTGTTTCTGAAGAGCTGGAGTTGACAATGCTGTGTAGACCTCTTCTCGGCCATGTGGCTCTACTTACCCCACATTTTGGGCAGTGTCCAGAGCTACTGCCCTGCTTATGCAGCAGACGTCGTATTAGTGGTAGCTTGTGCTAGTGCTATATTAATTGCAAAAGTGGAGCAGAAGGGTTGGCTATTGTGCTTATTCCAGTTCTGTTATTACAGGTTAGGGCCTCATCTGATTTATTCGGCAGGACTACTTCTGAATGTGTGCATTTTTGGAGAACTTTTTCCTCCTGCACATAAACCACTTCGTTTGAGACCTATTTTGCACACTAGCAGTATCAAGCTCAGGTTTGCCATGGAACATGCATATATTCAATGGAAAACTTTAGTCACATCTTCTTGGTAGGTGTATCAGTACCATGCACCTTTGCTGCAAATATACTTACACTGGGAGGTGTATGCTTAAAGCATCTAAGGCATATTTAAAGACTGTAATGTGTGATGTGGCCATTTTGAAAATGGCAGCCTTTTTTGGCATATTTTTTGAAAATATGCAGAGTCTCTTCTTCCAATTCAGTCTCACTTAGTAACCCCAAATTACTTCTCACTTCTATCTTGCTGGAGCCTTTCATCTACTGGGTTGGTGATTCTGTGCAGAATATGCACAGAATATTGTGGCTTTGGCAAAATGGATCCACAAAACTGCTGCTGATGCCTGTGTCATCTGAAAGCACCATGATTTGTAGCTTCAAAGCCCTACAATGCAGAGTCTTATCTTCTGCTCCCCAGTACCTTTGCCCTGGCTACCCGTCAGCCTTTGGAGCAGCAACTGCCATTTTAATTCCTCTAGCTATTACCTTTGATTTTTTTTTGTGCGTGGGGCACCTTCTTTATTTGTCAAATAAGATTACTAAATGCAAATCTGAAACGTCTTTAAAGTATTTCAGGATTGTTTGAGACAGTTGCACCAGTTTCTTGGTGTCTGAAATTACCTGCTTGTTTTGTCACATTAACGCATCGCTCAGTATCACATATATCAGGGGTGGTCAGACCAAGGCTATGGAGCCACATGAGGCTTTGACTTCACTTTGCAGCTCACTGCTTACTTGTGGTCTGGCGCCATTGCCACTCATGGGCATCTACTTGTGGCTGTCAAATACCTGATGCTTACCATATGTGGATTTTCCGTTGAGCAAGCCTTGCCACTCCAACATATATTAATATTACCTGGAAGAAAGAAGTGTTTGGTAGGATAGAGATAAATGTGCCAGGTTCAAACAAAATTTATTTATTATTTCTATATACTTCTCCATCTATTTAGGTGGATTCCAGAGTGGTAAATATTACAAAGCTAAAACTAATAGGCTGTCACAGGGAATGCTCTTCTCCTGACGGACTGTAGTTGGGCATATGTCCCTGTGACGCCATCAGGAGAATGGCTTCCAATGAGGGCAGGTAGGTAAGGGAGATGACTCTTTCTCAAGTTCCTAGTCCCACGTTATTCAGGGCTTTGTACACTAGTACTAAAACATATAACCTGTATCTGTAGCAAATAGGTTGGCAGTGCAATTCCATCAGCAAATTATTTAGTACTAGCGCCAGTTTTCAGAGCAGCCTGAGGGACAGCCCCAAATAGATCACAATGGAGTGATCCATTCTTGAGATTACTAGTGTGTGTACCACTGTGGCCAAGCTGGCCCTGTGCAGAAGAGTCTATAGCTAGTGAATCAACTAGAGAAGCTAAAAGGCTCTCTGAGCTGCTGCAGTTTCTTGGAGTTCCAGCAATAGTGACGAATGTAAGAGTATCCCCAGAATATGAATCTGATATTTCTGAGAGACTGCAGCCCCAACCAGAACAGCTGATAACTTGTCTTTTCGACTTGGGGTCCACTCACCCACAGGTCTTCTATCTTGCCAGGATTCAGCATTAGTTTATTGACCCTCATCCAGCCTATCACTGAGTGCAAACACTGATCTAGGACTTACACAACCTCTTCTGGTTCACTTTTCATGGGAGGATAGAGCTGGTGGTACTTGGCTCTCAATTCCCTAGTGACTTCTCCCAGCAGCTTCATACAGATGTTAAACAACTTAAGGGACAGAATGGTCCCCTGTGGAAACCCACAGCTCAGTTTCCAGGGGACCAAGGAATAGTCACTCAGTGTTATGCTCTGAAGTCAATCCTGCAAGCATGGCTAGAAGCACTGTGATTCAGTGCCTCTAGTGCTTAGCTCAGGGAGAAGTTCCAGAAGCATATAATGGTTGATTGTATCCAAAGTGAATGAAACATCAAGTAGCATGAAGTTGTGCCACCTCCTGTCTCTTGTCCAGTGAAGGTCGTTCCTTCAGGACAACTAAAGCTGATTCAGTCCTGTAACCAGGTTGAAACCCAGACTAAAGTGGGTCTAATTAGCATCCTCCAAGAATGCCCGCAGTTGCTCCAACATAATCCTTTCAACTGTTTTACCTAGAAAGGGGAATATTTGCAACTAGACAGTAATTATCAGATCCCCTGCTGGCTCCTTAAGGACAGCAGAAACCAGCTCTTCATGCAAAGATGAGTTACCTCTCCCTGGATCTGCCCTCAGCTAGCTCTTATTAACTAGGCAGGGCAACTTGTTGAGATAGCATGTGGCTGGTCTCC